TTATATTGACAAACATAGAGTGATACTAGGCGGATATAAATTGTCCAAACTTCCTGAGAAGGTGCGAGAATTGGGCGAAATCAGATCTTGTTAATCGTTCTTAACAAAAATTGATGGTCAGGCAGTGCAAATACAATTTAACCAAAAACCTAATATGAAAATTTAACTGAGCTTAAAATAGTATGACAATGAGGGATATTGTGTAAAGGTCAGATTACATGTAATTAATTGATAATATTGTGTTTTTTGTTCATCAATGTTACGCTGTCTGAAGCAAAACTTATTAAAACAAGAAACAAAACAATCAACAAATTAAAGATAATTTATTATTTCGTTGCAATTGATCGTGTGTGAATGTCTGGGTGTTAACAATTGTTGATATTCAAGGTACTAGATGTATAATTGACAATGTTACAAAAGTCATTTAAAAACATTACATTATTAAACTTTATCATATTCTAGACACAAATAAAAACACGCAAAAGTTTACCATCTTGTTTGTTAAAATACTGACGATTTTAATTGAATTTTGTATCAGTTATACAGAACAACATCAATATGTATCAGAACAGTTTTGCCGATTTCATCTTTATTTAACTTTAGAAGTGGTAAGCTATAACCATAGTTTTGAAATGAAAAGAAACAAAACCAAATAAAAGCATATCTGAACAGTACAAAGTTAACAGGTGTCTGATTTGATGTAATAGAAAGAGGGTAGGTTCAGTAAACCGGTCATATTTATTTTGTCTAACAATGAGTCATTATTATAACTTCAAATGACAATCATCTAGATACAATTCGAAACGTTTAAACAAAACAAATAGAGAGATTGACCATCAAGATTTTGAAATATAAACAATTTAATTTGTAAATTAGCCATATTTTTGCTTAATTAGCACTATAAGGTACATATCAATTTGGAAATATATTTAAATTCAAAATATTAACAAATGAAAAAGATGACTTAATCTTCCTAAGGAAAAACAAAAAAAATATACAAAGTTCGCCCCAATTTAGACTTGAACCCCTAATCCCATGCAAACGCAGGAGGTTCTGCATCAGGCATCTGATGAATTGTTCTATATTAGGTAAAAGTAGATCTATCATGAATTTTCACTTATTTATGAATAATTCTATTAAATACATGTTTAATATCAAACATTAACTTTAAGCATTAACTTTACTATGATTTATTTCTAAAGGTTACGACATTTTTCTCAGTCATTAAAGCCCGTGATCAATCAATGACTAACTAACTATGTTCTAATATAATATGATGTATATGATACAGGTAACACATGTATACGTGATCATATAACTTATTACAACTTATTAATTACTTCTCTAAATATGTGTTGTTTAACAGTGGCTCTTTTGAGCGTAAGAAATGTCAACGATCACTTAATTAGTCTTTACATGCTGTGACATTTTGAAATTTTCTATCAGAATGTCAAGTAATGTTTAATGATTAGTAGATATCGATTAATTCAATTGGTCTCGTAAACATTATTTTGAGTGGGCTGAAAGAGAAAACGTGTTGCTAAGTGACACAGTACAAAAATAATTCTATAAAATGAATAAATTAATTCAATTTCCTACAGGTACTTGAAGTGGAACGAAAGATTTGTGTCATGTGCTTAATTGAGAAAAATTAATTATTAATGATTTAAATTTATGAAACAAGGGTTTAATAGTCAGATGTCGGAATAATTGATATTAGCATGTCACAATCGACACATGACTGGCATGTAACAGGAATATTTAAGTTCAGTCAAAACATGTGAAATAATTTGAGCCGCGTCACGACTAAACCAACATAATGGGTTTGCGACCAGCATGGATCCAGACCAGCCTGCGCATCCGCGCAGTTTAATCAGGATCCATGATGTTCGCTTACAAACCCAATAATAAGTAGAGAAACTGTTGGCGAACAGCATGGATCCTGGTCGGACTGCGCGGATGCACAAGCTGGTCTGGACCCATGCTGGTCGCAAACGCATTATGTTGGTTTTGTCATGATGCGGCTCATTTAATTCAAATAACAAATCACCCGTCAACAGACAGGATGAACAATTGCTAGTCATGGTATAAAGAACATTAGGGTAACACATACTGTATTGATGCTAATTCATTACAAGAGAACTGATGAATGAATTCTAAATGAGCATTCTAGTAATATACATTGTTATACAACTTGTTGTTGTTGTTGTTGTTGTTGTTGTTGTTGTACACATAAAGTCTGCAGAGCATTGTATTTATAGTTGTAAATGTAAACAGTACTGTATCCCCTTTGTACCAAATGACATTGTTTCAGTGTATGCCACATCAAACAAATTGCAGGCGCTAAAACATACAGAAGGAATGTAAAATTCAAGTTATTTGAAACCATGAACTTGATGTAACACAAACCACATTTAATGTGTTAACATGATAAAGATGCAAGTTTGATTAATAAAATACAAATTATCAGAAATAATTAGAATATAGACGTCGTTAAAGCTGATACTGGTGTTAACATTATTTCGAATGTCGTTAATAAAATGTCAGATATTTAGGGACTGCAATGTCGTATATATAAACATTAAACGTACTTATATTTTTGCGGTCTCCAAACAAGGAAACCTCTAGAATAATGTATCTGTTACATGTGTAACATTTCTACCATGTTTTCTATATTTGCATTAAACGTTATGTGAAAAAATCATGACATTGGCAAATTTAAATTTTACTGTCATTGCAAATGTGATTAAGATAAAGCCATGGGTGTCTTTCAAGCACATAAAACACACGTTTGTAATCGTCAACACTATCTAATTCAATCTTATATAACCTCTTTATTTGTTATGTCTAAGCATTACATTTCCATCTCTCAGTATTCAGACACAGTGTGTAACACCGTTCAATCGATCATTTACAATTGCAGGAAATGCAAGTCAAGCATATTCAGTTAAACCTACTTCCTTACTAGTTAAGGTCTACATAACTATTACATTTACAATACAATACTATGCAGTTTAACAGTATGCATTCTAGATAGTCAATTCATTGGTAAATTAATATAATATAATCTTGATGTAGCCCTGCAACAGACCAATGTTAATGAATAATTGTTATGATTTACTTGCAGACTGAAACCTTGACACGGTTTTAATAAATATAGATAACTGGCGTATATAAGAATAAGTGAAAAAAAATGATTATATAATATCAAAATTTTGTCGGCTAAATTGTTCCATTGCACTCTAAACAGCTTACATGACGCAGTGAGTCCTCATTTCCATTGTGTCCACTGGTACATGGAATGATGATAATAGGGATACAGGTGATCTTCATAAACCAATAAAACAAAAACAGCTCCATATGAGCGTGACATTATCACAGCGACTGAAACACTATCAAAAAATAATTAAATTACATGTAGTTAGATGTTTACAAAGAAATAAGGAATTGGTAATTAATATCTGTAAAAGATTTTACAGACTATTATGTAAGTTTAAACTTTTAGGAATGAATCGGCAACTTTTTGTTTCGTCCTCGTGACTGAATGCATATTTAACAAATTATCATGTAAGTTTAAATGTTTCTTAACCAAATAAAATGAAACTGTTACATTCACATGAATTCATTTACACATGTTTAAATTGTTGTAAGAAAAGGTCAATGTTGCTGTATGGGTTTTCCCTCTTTTTTAGGCAATGGTATAATTTCATCATACTTTGTTATATGTGCTTGATGCCTATCCAACAATATTCTTTAAATGTTACCAATATTAGAATCTTTATGCAAAAGCCATTACTGATAATATATTATACATTCCTTTTTGGTATGGTAGATAAAATAGAACCAGGCCAGGCTGGTAAAAAAAGATGGTGTTTCCAGTATTCATACACAACTATTTTAAGGCGTAACACTTTCAATGTCTTTCTTGCAGGTCCAAGGTATGAACTAGTAATAACATTTCAAATTTTCACATTTGACATTTCCTACATATGAATGTAAGGATGATCTCAGCTGTCATACATGTTCATTTATACTTACCTGTTATAATAATTTATATCCAATTAAAACAGCTGCGTAGCGTATAGTATGAAATTTAGAGCGGTATTTGACAAACGATAATCAGATAAAAGGTCATGTGGTTGTTGAATTAAATTGATAGATAATACGAATTTTCGTTGTCACGCAAGTGATACAAGATTCGCTTGATTCAATCTGTTTATAGACGGATATAAAGCTACTTTTCATTCTTGCAGAAAATTGACTACATTCATTAATATTTTAATATATCATTTCAAATGCTTGCTAAGTTTGAAATGTTTAAAACGTATATTTCTTGAAACCAAATAAGATGCAATGTGTGCATTGCAGTCTGAATAAAATATAGTATGTTTAATGATAACTCTTTTACAACATGCGGTATGCAAACTCTAAACCAATTTGTAAGATATTTTACTTTTAAGCGTTAATAATTATAACGTAAAATATGCAATCTTTGGGGGTTTGAAGATTATAAATGGAAATGATACACATGTTTATTTCATTTAAGACATTGTAAATAAGAAATAAAATATAGACACAAAAGTTCATTCACATAATCTAGGCCATCTTATTTCGGGAGGGAAAAAAACACTATGTATACAATGCGATGTTTCAATACTCGCTGAGCTTGTGTAGAATGATTTAATTTGGATATATAAAAAATATGTTTCATTCCTTCAATCTTTTAATTACTATCCTTTGAACTTATTCTGTCAGCACATCGCATTTTAAAGATATCGCCTGCTTGCAAGACGGTTTGTAATGAATTTATATGCATTTTGTTGTCCAATGGATTTTACTACGATTATGATTTATTGGTTGCGCGGAAACAGTTTTCTTTCATGTGAAAATTTCTCTTGAAGATATATTTACAATATTTTCATTACATTGTTGATCATAATCAATCGATACTACAAAACTGTTTTAACATTTGTTTGAAGCTAAATTCTTTTATTCTTTAGATCCTCCTCCAGTTTTCGACCTCCCACCTCCACCACCGTTAGATTCACCAGTCAAAGATACGGGAAATCAGCAGCCTGAAACTGATAAAAGCACAATAGCAGTAGATACTGTAAACAATGAATCCTCAATGCCAAAGGACACAGTGAAAAACAATGAAACGGCGGAGCTAGTTCCATCTACTGATTCTAGTTCTGCAACAAACGATTCAATTATTTCTACCTCTGGTACAAACTCTGAAGGCAATTTAACTTCTGAAGGAGCAAATGAAAACATTAATACAACTGTTTCTACCGATACAAATTTGACTCCTGATACATTATCTAATATTACTAGTATAATATCGGACGGAAACGAAAATAATATTAATAATTTGACAAAATCTGTTACTGAAGATACGTCTGCTGGAGATGTACGATCTTTGCCAGAGTCAGTATTAAATGGAGCAAACAATACGACGGGCATATTAGATGAAAATATAATATTCGATGCTTTAAATGATACAAATGTTTTAATAGATAAAATAAATGAAAATGCTACATTACATGACAAGTCAACATCTTTCGATTTGTTGAATGCCACAACAGACCAAATGTTACCTGTAACGGAAAATACCAATGTACAAAATTCATTAACTTTTAGCCTAGATGGAATTATTGATATAAATAATCCAGGTCTAGCATCCATTGATTTACCACCACCGGTCGATTTGCCACCGCCTCCGATAGGTTCTGACCCTGCACTTGAACCAAGTGTCAGTTTAAGTGACACAGGAACTAATATGTCTGATACCTTTCCTCAGATTGATATGAACACTACATTTTCTGTAGACACAAACGGCACAAGTGCAAAAAATAAAACATATATTGATAAAGTTGACATTTATATAGATCCCGATACAGGTAATATGAATATGACACATACACCTGTGGAATCGATTGGAACGGAATCAGTTCTAAGAAACCCCGTTGATGTTCCACCCGTTCCGGTTCCTATTGATCTGCCGCCTCCACCCGTAGAAAAGCCGTCTGTTGATTTCATAGAATCTCAAGGTTCTACAACCATCGAAATTTCGGATCTTTTTGGTGAGTTAGGATCCTTAGATAAATCTTCGCCTCCGATGAACATTGCTGACCCCGATACAACAACAGCCGGAATGACCCAATTTAACCCTGAAGTTCCAGTAAATGTGCCAGGATTAGAATCAACTACTGAAACGCCGATTGATATGTTTGCAACACCGTCATCATTTTTGGATTACGTCACTTCGACGTCACCACCTGCAACGATAGAACCAGAACAAAGAAGACACATGCCAGAGACAGGTATGCATATATTTTAAAATGTCTGTATATCATAGATTAGTTTTCTACTGAAATTAGCGTAAGCTTCCTATATAGTAATTAAAACATCTATCGGTTGTAAAAAAAGTAAATATGTTATCAATGTATCGCCTATTTCCATTGAGGCATATCGTTCTGTCGCCAATGTTTTTCACTTTACACATTTTGAGGTTCTTTAGATGCTCTGAAAAGACAAGGAAATCTGTGTGTAAATTCCTAGCGATACGAGTTTACTCGTATATGAAATAGCAAATATTTATCAATACAATATTAAGCGAAACAAGTATTGAAATTAATCATTCATAATTACTTTTCGTTACATAATTGATACTATTCTTGGAGCCCTCAGAATGTCATATTTCTGACCCTTCAGGTTTAACCCTCCTTATTCATTACATCCGCATTGAAAGGCTGAGATTACTGCCAGTGAATGTGAGGGTCATATGCTTAAATCCAAGAAGGTTCAAATTCTTGTCCTTAACATTATTTATGTATTTCCAAGATCAGTTTTGGATATAAAATAGCGTTTCACTTCAAGTATATAATAATCACAGGTATTTTTTAGCCAAATTATGTTCAATTAAATAACAAATATGGTACCGGATATTTTCAAAGCCTTATAAAATAAAAACTGGATAGTAAAAGTATTTGATATTTGACTGACAAGATCGACCAAAATGCTAAATATATCATAAAAAGCAGCTCATTTTGGTAAATGTTAGGAAATTTAGAATTAGGCCCAGTAGGAAAGTAGTCAAACAAGTGTTTAGAATGGGTGGAGTTAGGTAACATTTTTATACATTTTTCGAACATATTGAGTAGAATCAATCATTTAGATTGTGTGATATGGTGACTGAATGCTATTCAATAGGATTTTTTTTTCAAAAAGATAATATAATAGATTATTTAGAGTTTTCTCATTTCTGAGAGGTTATTCTAATATGCAACATTTTTTTTCAGAAAAGTGTCCATAACCCGTTAAGCGTACGGTTTATTTTGTTTAAATTATGCATTATGTTACTGTGGGGTAGATACGCCGCTTTTTATGAAATGGTGCTATCGTGTATCGTGTCATATTTAAAGTTTCGTGATAACCGTTGTATGAACACATCTGCGGATATTTCTAAATTCGAATTTGTACCATTTCATTTTTTTATGTTGAATTCTGCTTTAGTCTATGCAAGCGGGATTGGGCGGTAGCTAGTATTTACTCGTTTTTCTTTCAAATTTCCTTCATCCATAAATCCTTTAAGCTTTTTGAATTGGTATCCGACATCTTATAATCGTTATGTTATCCCTAACATTAGCTTCGTGATGTTAAAATTATATTTTTTTTTATTTTGACAAATTTTAATAGGTGAGCATCTACCTTCGATGGATCACCCCCCTCCCATTTTCTCAGGCGGAAGTAGGCCTTCGGTTTATACTGATCAATACGGTCCACATGACGGCAGTTTCCCATATGTTGAAACAACTACAAAAAGAATGCAAACAGTTACAAAGGAAGCCCCGCCGCCACCACCAATTAAGGTACCAACCCGCCCTAATAGACGTACAAATTGGCACAGCATTGCAACAACTATGTCACCTTATTCATGGAGGTCTACAACTACTACCTTACACCCGCGTCACATGAACGTTGCAGAGTTAGCAGCATATGCTCTTAAAATGACGAACCAACAGAAAAAGTTAACGAAAGAACCTTCGCAAGGAATCCATGTTTTCTTTCCTTCTGGCCAAGAAGCAACTACGACACAACCAACAACAACATATAAACCGGCATACATTCAACGAGATACCGCAAAACAAAAGGATTTGCGATCAAATGCTTTCATTGAGTATCTACGAAAAAGGTACGGTATCAGTAATATTGGAACAACACCTTCATATGTAGCAGCAGTAAGAAAACCCGTTTCTTATCAGTTGCAAAAGGCAGGTGGTCAACCTAAATTTTTTGATGCGCAATACCTTTTATCTCATTTAACTGAAACTACGACACAGAAACCGACAATGAAGAATGTATTTGACTCTAATTATTTTAGATCACAGTTGGATATCGGACATTCTAAACCTGTACCTCAAAGACTATATATGACAACAATAAAACCATTCACTACGACAAGACATTTCTTTGATTCAAAATACTTATTGTCACATCTTGACGAATTGCAGCAACCAAAGCCTCGTCTACAACCAAATCTACCTCCTACACCACCAATGACATCTTTGTCGAAACTTCTACCTCAAAACAGAGACTTGCAAAATCAAAACAAAGTTCAGGATGCCCTTCAAGTTTGGATGAATGATATGAGTGTAAAACCAAACGCCGTGTCACGAATTAACTCCGGACAAAAGCTATCTGGAACAACAGTTTTGAAGGAACAAAGACAAGGGCAAATAGACACGAGACCAATTGATCTTAAATCAAACATACAGCCACAATCTATCATCAATTATAATGTAAACCCAAAGAAAACGCCACAATTTGCAGGATATACAACTGCAAAATTCAAACCAGTTGTCTATGGTAATAAACCAGTTTCGAGAGCCCAATCAAGCTCAGGTCTTAGCTTAAGAGAAAGATTCAACAGGAAGTGGTATCACCCAGAGAAACAAACACCATCAACAACACCATTGCAAACAAGAACAAATAATATGAATCAACAACCTATTAGAAATATAAATATAAGATTTGAAGAACCAATGAATAAAAAACAGTTCAATACTGCACCACAATCCCAAGTAAATGCCTTACATGGTACGGGAAGCAACGTTAATAATGCATTACAGAACACTGCTACTAACCGTGATTTATCTATACAGCACAATAGTATTGAACTTCAAAGGAAAATCATAAAACAGCAAGAAGAAAAGCTGAGGCAACAGCAACAACAACTCAAAGAGCAACAAGAGATGTTGCGTTTACAGAGAGAACAATCTAATAAACAAGCTTACCAGAATGATAATTTACAGAGCACAAAAACGCTTTTTAAAACTTCAGAAAAAGATCGTTTACGTTTACTCCAACTGCAACAAAGTCAAAACAAAAATGTTCTGTTACAGCAACAACAACGACTAGAAGCACAGGAACGGTTACGTAGACTACGACAGCAAGAGTTAGAGGAACAGAAGCAACAATTTTTACGTAAACAGCAAGAGCAAGCTCGTTTACAATTACTGCTGCAACAACAACAGCAACAACAACACAATCAGCAGTTATTATTTAAACAGCAAGAACAAGAACAATTACTCCAACAACAAAACAACCAAAGAGATCTTCTTAACCAGCAAGCACGTGAACGTTTGTTGCAACAGCAAAAACGGCAACTTGAACGACAAAAAGAGCAAGAACTACTCAGAAATCAGCAAATTGATCGACAGAATAACCAATTCCCTCTAGCCTCTAGAATTGGACAATCAACGATTCTTCAAAGTAAAGAGATAAACAGTAGAAACATGTATCACACATACCAACCAAACGTACAACTGTCAAGTATTCAGATTTTTAAGGCGCCTGCGATGTTGAGAAGAAGAAAAAATCGTGAAAAGAAAGAATCTGTTCCACAAACATCCCAAACCCATTGGCAGGCGCCCACTGAATTACATAACTTACATGGACATTTATCGGTGCCATACAATATAAATTTTTTGCCAGAAGTTCGAACAACACAGGCGACACCCACACCAAGGATATCGTTAGCTACTACCCAAGTGCCAATTGTTTACATTCAAACAATACCAACTACAACAATGAAACCGATAACATCTTCACCAAGACCTACGCCACCAGCAACCGCGGATCCTAATCCTCCACCTATATTCGACACTAAGGTCCGCCATACTTTTATGCCTATGCCGAAGATTGATCCTACTACAAGGGCACCGAGATCAGCAGAAAATGTTAGTGGTTGGGATAGTGGACAGGGAAACAATAAGAAAATCAACATAAACATGGATGGTATGTATTCTATAATTGTTATTGATATGTACAAAAGATGTTGTTGTTGTAATATTATTTTATTTTTTTTTTGGGGGGGGGGGGGGGTTTTAATTAACTATATAATCTTAAATTACTACATTATTCCAATATACATTGTTTCATCGATGTCTTTTTTTTTTTTCAAATTTTAAAAACAATAACAAGCAAACAAGTGAGATGCATATGATATATATTCTGTTCTTTTGTAAATAATACTGATGTAAAATCTTTGAATCTTTTTTTATATAATTATTATTTCATTTTATATCAGAACGTTGCAGAGGATGTGTGTTTGTAAATGACCGTTGCCTTTTACCGGATCCTGTACACTGTCATTTTTATATTGAATGTGTGAAACATGGTGCTTCTGTCCGCGCTTTCAGTCGTGAATGTGCACTTGGATCATTTTTTGACAGGAGGTCCTTCCTTTGTGTAGATCCCAAAAATGCTGATTGTCCAACAGGTAATGTGATGTTTACATAGACTTTATTTACAAAGAAAATATCATATGAAAACACATGTAATAATTTATTTCCTTCATTTTTATAGAATAATACGTGAAATTGTTGTTTAAATTTGTCAAAACTTATCATAATTATTAACTATATTTTTTAAAGAATTTTTTGACGTTTAAACATTTTGGCCCTATCAAGTATACATGTACATAGAAGTAAATTCCAACATAAATTTATCCACCACTTATTATATATTCGAGAAACATAGACGAGCTATGCTTTAAGGCTTAACCATACAATTCTTATAAACAGAATCCAGGAACATTAATGTTGTTTCTAAGAACTCGGTACATGTTTGACAAAAAACAGATAAAAACAAGCCGATTTATTTAATCATTACAAACTCCAAATAAGCATTGATATATGATACATGCCTTAAGAAAAATATTTTAATGTTTATGTAATTTATACGAAAACGCATAATTCAACTGTAAGACTTGTTTATAATATATGCAAATATTGCATTACAGATAAACATGGGAATACGTGTAAAACATTCTAATGTTTAGTTGAATTCAAGATAATTAATTTAACACTTTTTTATATTTACATTATTAAGTTTCTAGACTTTAAGTTTAGACTTTCTCAGTGTTTAGACATATAAATTCAACATTGAAATGAAAACACTGATTATATAATGTATATTTTCTAAATTCATGGTGAAAGATATCACTTTTATGACATTAAAGTAGTAAAAAGCCATGGCAATCTAACAAGGACAGGTAAACCTTGAGGACATGTTTGACACACCCAGCGAAACCGCACTAGTTAATCTAGGCTTCACTCTATATCCGTAATAAAGATTATAAAATGTTTGATAGAAAGTATTTGTAAATCTTAACACAGACCGTTGCCGAGTGCCAGGAACAAAATGGTATGCCATTCATGGTCATTGCAAGCACTACTGGTCATGTGGTTCTCGCGAAGGCGGTGGGGTATTCGCACAAAGTGAGTGTTGTCCTGAAATGGGCGGATTTGTCGAACCTGTCGGATGTGTCGAGAACCCAAATTGCACAGACACATGTTCGAGTACAATCATGAAAGACGGCCCAACAGGTATTCATAATATGCTATTTTGTTATCATATGTACCAGATGACCATCTCAATGCAATAAATTTCATTACAATTTTAGATAAAAAAAATCTGTAGTTTAAATTACTCTAAATTGAGCAAACTGATGATAGAAGTGAGAGGCAATAATGCAGTGTATCTGTAAATTTGGAAAAGAAATGGTGATAGGATGTAGTTTTTATAACAATAATTATAAGGAAAGAAACACATGATTTCGATAGAAAAATATATGTGTTTTTGAATCTCAAAGATTAGGTTGCGATGTGACTTGCCTCGGAAATAGAATGGACAAGTACATAGCAAATTAATTTGATTTCGTTAAAGTATAATATAATTTAAATAAATATAAAGATATAGGTATTGATGTTGTTGTTGTTGTTTTGTAAATGTGTTTGTTCAACCGTCGTGTGGTGCGGGAAGAGGATCTGAAAAGAACCTCTGTTGTTTAAATTAAATGACTGAAGATCAGTTTTAGTATTGCATCTTTACATCTGATATCAGTTATGATGTATGTTTTTGGAGACAACATTCACAAAAGTGTGTCCACATCAACAATAGCTTATTGTATGTATACAAGATTATGTAATAATACTTATGTACGAGTATTAATAATTAAAGTTTTTCGCCAACATTTTAGAGAACTACTTAACGGTCTGTTTATTAATGTTAACAATTACGTTTTAATATAACCTTAATTGTAATATTGCCTTCTATGTTGTGTTTATATTTTAAGTAAGGTTTACCAAAGATTGAATATTTGAATTAAAACGTTACATTTTATGTTTGGGTTTTGGGAGTATTTGTCAGTATTTGAAACAGCATTTACGGAAAAGAAAATTTTGGTATTTAAATAAAAAAAATAAGATTATATCTAATATTATTAGTAATGTCTATTTGTTTTAATTGTCTTCTTGTTTTTCTTTTAAGTTGTGTTACCTTATGTTTTATTTCCCTTATATAATGGACTGATCTGGTGCTATACATGTCGGTAAATTGCATTGAGTTGTGTTCAATTAATTTCGTTACACTTTCTTATCAGTTTTATAACAATGGCATTCAATTCAATTGGCTGTGCAATATTTGAAATATTACATTTTTCGTGGCGATATTGGTTGAGTTTGTTATCTAGGTAGTACAAAATGATGATGTTAACGTATAAAATGTTTCAATAAATAAGTCATAGCTGCCGTAGAATGCTTACTAACTCATCAATTCGTTCTCAGGCTGCCAACTGCGAAAAACAGCGTCCCCAACAGTTTATTTTGACGGAAATGCAAATATTGAGCGTCCATGCGCACCCGGAACATTGTTCAATGAACGTGCATGCACGTGCGTGCAAGATGTGTCATATGAGCGCAGTGAAAACAAGCCCGGAGGTACACATTGTCGAATACGTATTGATGTGGAAACTAACCGCACATTTACTGAAAAATGACATATTTGGAAAAATTGTTGCAAACTTATGCCATTTGAATGACGGAGGAAATTATTAATTAATGATACTGACATTTCAAATTTTTAAAGTTCCGACGCTTCTGCTTCTGTACTAACTTTTAATACTTCGATAATAGTGTATAACATTTAACATGATACGCATTATAAGCTGGAATAAAAACTATACCATGAATCATTAAATGGCAAAGGTTTGCTTTACGTAAAAAATGCACAAACTTTGACTGATTTTGAAATTAGAATAGAAAAAATATTACATACTTTGAACTCGGTATGTAAAATAACATATTTGAGTAAAAATCATTGTAAAACACACATGTCAAAAGTTTTTGCATTAATTATAAATTAGAGTTAGTCTAATAATTTGTCCAACAATATCTAATTCATTGTTGCATTTTTTTCTTTTTTGAGACCTTACCAATTGCTCCTGCAGTAACGAAACATCGTGCTCCTGTGGCGGCGCAATGCAAGCTACTGCGAAAGGTATAACTTCAGAAAAATGCGGTCATTGCTTATAGTTAAAATTACTTATAAACGAACTAAACATAGACCTTTTATCTTTGCACGAAATATCTCACAGTGATGCATGAAATAACACTTTGCATGTACAATGAACATGTAAAACTTTGTATTTTGCACTAAATCTGCTCGAACCGAAAGTCATTAACCTCCGCCATCTGTATAAAGCATGGCTAACAGGACATCCTCGCATTTTTATAAGGCTCCATATTGTTTGAGTATTTTCAAATTAAAATTTGGACTGTTTCAAATCCAATTCTGGACAACACAAATTATAAAATTTCGGCCGGTTCGTGGTAAATTTTGATGTTCATACATAAACTATGTATAGTGATATTTTATAAAAGAACATGGTTTACTGGTTGATATATATAATATTTAAATAAATAGATATATGATTTTAAAAGAAAATGATAAGATTTTAATAGAAAGGCATAAAAATAGTCATAGTTCAAGATTAATGTTTATGGAATTAGAAATTAATTATTAATTAGAGTCAATACTGAATTTACCATACTTGCGACTTGATACTTAAATAAACGTATAAAGATAACAAAATTCTTGGTAAAGCTTTAATCTAAATTAGCATGTTGCTCTTAAAGGAAAAAACTAATTATGCGGGTGGTATAAAAAGCGAAAGTGACATGAGAGGGTAGCCTCTAGAACTGTGATGTCATTATACAAAAACAATGCCGTTTAACGAATCGAGTACATGCTTATGTCTGTTATCCTTATCTACCTTAATAGATATGTGCAATATAAGAACAAGTGAGTCAAGAACTAGATGCTTCTAAAATTTCTGATTCTGATTTCTGTGCACTTTTAAAGATGAATAATTTAAATTTGTTCATATTTGAATATTTGCTTTTTTTAAAAAAAAAACAACAACATTCTTACATATTTGTTTGGTCAGGTTTTACGTCGCACCAACACGGTAGATCTAATATGGCGACTTTCTAGCTTTACCGGTGCAGGAAGACCTCAGGTGCTATACCGTGCATTATTTCAGGCACAAATTTTGGCACCTGAGTAGACCCGTCTGCTTTCCGTAATTTCCGTGAAAGAATCCAAAGTCCCTTGCTGGATCCGAACCAACGAAGGTGGGGCAAGTGGTTTTCTCAAATAAAGGACTTGTTATAAGGTTATATGATACACGATTGCTGATTGGATCAGTATGAATCATAAGAACCTTCCGATCGTTCCTTTCAAGTTTGATTTTATAGCTCTATTTATTAGGACCTGGCGATAGCAATTGTATATAAAATGAACGTGACATTTAGCAATATGCAAAATATAAGAAGATCAGAATTAAATATCAGATTTTATTGACGAGCATATGGTTTGCTTGTTTGATTTGATTTGTGAGTGATTTTATAGGTCAAAATTTACACAATTATACAGATAATTTATATAGATGACTTTCTAAGGCACGCGTTATCGACCGTCAAAGAAACCATTTTTTTTCATAATATTGTAGCTATGGAATTGGCCTTCGTGATTTAAAATCAAGATTTATTTATAAAGGTGAGCAGTTTGAAAAGTAATATGATGACAAACACATGACATTCACTTGAAATTGCCGAAATAAGAAGTCACCTAAAATTTATGCTTATCTGGCAGTTGAATTGGGTCATAATAACATACTCTTAAGAAAAAGAAACTAATTATCAATTGAAAAAGAACTTTTAAAATATGATCTTTCAATTCATTTTTTTTGAACATCAAAACTATCATTAATTGTTTGAAATAAGGACATAAAAATTATGATATAGATAGAACTAAATATAGCTATAGAAACGTTGAATTATCTTTTCTCCTGACTAACAAATAGAATCTCTAGGAGTTTAATATCCGTCATAAATCTAACAGTCCTGTATAACTAGGTTTTTGTATGGAAATATTTAGCTAACAATGTCTCTGGAAGCTCATTTATCTGTGTAAAGTTAGCATGCAGCGCTAGAACAAAATAAGCGTTAAACAGCATTAAAGTGACATAATGTCCATTCAAGTGTACAGGCCAAAATCAAAATAACTTTAGAATTTACCATGGTAACTGAACGCAATGTTATAGTCTATTTCATATTTGTTATCAATAGCCAACGTGACTCACATAAAATTCTATAAATATCCTTCGAAATGTTTCGCTAACATAAAATTGTTGAAAAGAGTGGGGCAGATTTCTTTTAATATTCTAGCCAATCGTTTTATCCAAAGCATTTTGTTTTAAATTTCAACTAGATCTTTTGGTCAATGACCATTATAGGAGTCAATCTTTTGAAATATTTAGCCACAACAGCTAAACTTGACAACGAAATAATGGGCATAATGTCATTTTAAGTTCATTTCTCATATGCATGTTAAACAAATACTTGTGCTTTGTTGACGTTAATAATAGATATCCATTATGAAACGTATATAACCATGTAAAACAATCATTTTTTTGGTGCAGGTTACTAACAAATAACACCTGCTGTAAAGGGAAATATTATGTTCCATATTTTTGTGAATACGTATTTTAATACTTAACCTGAATAAGTTGTGTAATATTTCTGTCTTGATTTCGATTTAAAACAGTTTAATTCAATTTTAAAGATTTCATCATTGTAAATAATAAAGCTACCAACAGAAACGAGCCTTGTCTGACTGCGCCGAACAGCATGCTGGTCCGGCTCTTTCTTGCTGACAGGATTATCGGTTTTGGCTCCATCAGGTTAAAGGTTAAAAGCATGTTATCTTGATAATATACCAAAGAAACATACAAGTATATTATTATCAGGACATATAAAATTTTTAATCACTACATTTTAAAATGTCATTATGATACATGCACTTACTATAATAAAAAAAATTGAGATTTTCTTTTGAATCAGAATAAGGAGCCGATAATGTTTCCTTTATTTAATGACATCTTGTCTATGAAAATGACTTATTGTATATCTCTCAAAACATTATCTTATTGTATTCCTCTAAGAAAGTTGTGTATTATTGTATTTCTCTTAGAAAAGCTTTGTATTATTGTACTTGTATTATTATATTCCTCTTAGAAAGTTTTGTATCATTGTATTTCTCATGTATTTGTTTTTTATTTCTCTCAGAAAAGCAGAAAAGCTTTGTACTATTGTATTTATTTTCAGAAAGGTTTTTATTATTATGATTCTCTTTGATAGCTACCTCCTGTTTACCAATGTTATCATTAACGTTTGATGGCGGCAGCATGGAGGACTCGTCCAATACCAAGCAACATATAGGAGTAGATGGAGTGTCAGCCACACGGGAAGGAGAGGCTCTTTACAACGGCGGTGGGCGACTAGTTTTATGGCGATATGCAAATCTAATGTTTCCTATCGTTTATGCTATAAGGTAATTTGTATTTATAACCATTTTCTAGATATAGTATAAGTTGCAAACAATTATGAAGTAAATTCAAACAGTTTACATATACAGTAATAAACTAATTTGGACAGTTATCTAAAACATTGATAATACTGTCAATAAGTTGAGCTGCAGTTGACACCGTACATTGGAACGTAAACGAAACAAGTATGTTTCAATCTTATCAACCAGTTTTAAGATAAAGTACTTAAATATCATCTTACAAATTCATCGGAGGCGATGTTAATCTCATATGCTATCGTCATTTAGATTGAAGTTTATGACATATCAATGTCTATCAGACCCTGCCTCATTAAAGCATATGAGGAACGTATACATTGTATAAGAAAAATCTAATACGCGCAAGAACAAGTTTTTTTAACTATCCATGACGGTCGTCGACCCTTGTGTAACGTATAAATAGTGTGCATTATATGAAACCCATTCTTTTCCTTCCTTTACGTAATTCATTAGGTTCTATATGGGTAGGTCTAAAATAACACAAGCAAACATGAATTACATAAATATACGTTAATAGTATAGTCAACTTATAATTTATTGCAGTGTTTCGTATTTTAATTTGATTGTTTTCACTTGAATTTGCAGGTTTAGATTTTTCAGTACAACACCAACACCGAGGAGGCAGATAATTTTCTCCAATTGTGACACTAAAGGAGGACAGGAACCATCTTTGGAAATTTCCTTAGACACAGTGTATAATGAAGTTGTCTTTAAGATAGACACGTATGAGGGACCTTCGAAGAGATTCACAATAATATATCAGGTATAAAGTTGTGGTGATTCACAGTATCATTAAATATGTATAACGAAAATGCACGTGGTATTTCCAGATAATAACAGAATGAACAAAAGTAATCCAAACGTTTACATGATGTTTACGGTAAATTCATGGTATACCAAACGTCAAGTTTATGATTGACTATGGGATATCCAATGATACATGTGTATTCCAAACGTCACGTTTATGATTAAGGGACCTTCAATGGTATTCCCAACATAGCCGAGGGTATGGTGATACGTGGTGTATTAGGATAACCCAAGGTATTTTCAGCGTCAAGGTTATGATAACGAACTGGACTATTGAAATAAAAAAGTTATAAAGGAAACACCCTTAATACAGATAAAGACTAGATTTTGATAAAAAAAGCTTATGTAACAATGACAAAAAGTGTTGTATCACATTTCAAGTCCTAGTATTTACATTCGGATTCAATTGTTACAGTCGTTGTTAATTTTTGGCGATTGTTGTACAAAATGCACAAACGGACTGTGATAATAAACACAATTTAACATACGAGTAACAAAATAACGATTCATTTGGTAGTTTTAATAATGATAGAAATAGTTCATATTTTTTATCCATATTCTTTTTTCTTTGCGTTTTATCTTGAATACCAACGTTTATTGACATTAACGATGAAGCAGTTGCGGAAGTTGCAGATAGTAGAAGTGGTGATTTTTTTTGGGATCGCCGCACGCAGTTAACTTCTTTCAATTCGCCAAAGTACAGCCACGACATCCTTCCTTGGCAGGCTTGCTAGCAGTTTATTCGAATTAGTTGCCTTCATTCCATAATTATGGCATGTGTACCGTTAAAAGGTTTTCATGATCGTTCACAACGAAAGTGGCCTGCACCGTCCTGGAATCAAACCCGGGTCGCCAAATTTCCAGACCAACGCGTTACCAATTGAGATAATTGGACGGTTAATTTTTGTATAATATTGATGTGCATTTTTTTGAACATATTTTTTGTATGGTTACAAGCCGTGCTACTTAGCTTGACATGAATATTCTATTGTATGTTTCAGCCAAGTAAATGGACAAATGTAGATTTTATATATGATGGAGAAAGAATAGTAGGCTCTGTTGATAGAAGGGCTAGAAATATTTTTGCTGGAAGTAAGTACTTTCACAACTGCGTTCGTTAAATTTGTTGTTTTAAAGTGGAGCTAGTATAAACAATTGATGGTTTATGAATGTGCAAGCGGTATATCAGTGTACACATTGTATCAACAAAGTGTGTATTCAGTTGTGGTATCATTATTTGAGAAAATACCAATGCTGCACGTATGGGTTAGTAAACCTTAACGTAAATGCAAAATTGTCAATCTAAGAAAACATCCGCTTTATACGGTGTGACATGCTTTACATGAAGCTGGAATAGGTTTGTGTCAGGACACGTGTTTTTTTTTAAACAATACATTTGTGTTATGCTTACATTATTGTTGAAACGTTTGTAAAGTTAACTTAAGCTTGATGCAATTCACACCCAATGCTTAATCCATGTCCTTATTCAGTTCTTTTATACTCACCACGAAATTGTTAAAATTCAAATCATTTAAATGTTGATTTTGCTTAAGCCGGTGCTTGGGTGTGTGGACGGTAGCATGCATTAACTACTACCGTCCCTGAACAAGCTACATCAAACCGAGCCTGCAATATTTTGAATATTTAAGTGTTTTTTGGGGATTCTGTTTTCTCATTTTTAAAATTATCGTGACAAATTAACGAGATGAACTATTCTAGATCCGTAATGATTTATAACAATTCAGTTTAAGCAGTCTTATTAATATTATTATTATTATATAATCAATATATAACACGACATGACTGCTGTTTCAGGCGGAATTGAGACGCGTCCACATCCTGTGGGTATAGGAACTTGCAACGGAAAAGACGGGTTTAAAGGATTACTTGATGATGTAAGCATGTTTTTGTATCAATTGAAAATGTACTATTCCAGTATCGTGTTATGTTTTGATATTCCATATATATATATAGTCAAAAATTACTTGACCAATTCTTGTTTTGGCGTCCCACTTTTTAGCGTTTATTGACACATACCAGCATCAGTTGAACCGAGTTAATACTTTACGTTTAATAAATATTCCTGTTATTTAATTGGAAAGATATTAGATCTACACTCCTTTAACAAGTATTCAACTGAAATATAAGATGTTGTTGGAAACAAGTATAGTGAAATCATTTGTGCAATTTTACACCAATAGGCATAGTAAGAGTTTAACATTGTGACAAGTCATGAGTATAGATCTGATGGCAAATAGCCTTATCGGTTTTTGACAAATTCTACAACAAGATAAAAGTGTGGTACAACAACGACAATAACTGCAACTATTGTTTGTACATTTCGTATCAGGATTGAAATATAATATCAAAACATAATGCATATATTATCAATGTTTACTTCGAGGTATTAATTTATGCTCAATGTTTATTTATTGTTATCAATTTATGCTCAATGTTTATTTTGTATTTGTTTTTTATTTCTTTTATTTGGTACTTATTCATGCTTCAAGTTTATATTTTCACTATCAATTAATGCTCAGTGTTTGTTTTCTGTTTACACTTGTGTGCTCACTGTTTATTTCCAGGTATCCATTTACGAGGAATGTATTCCCGATGATATGTATGGAATATTTATGTCAGTATTGGAGTAATAAAGACAAAGACATTACAAAAACAGATCAGGGAATTACCATAAAATCAGACATTTCATTTTTTTAATTAATAAATTCGCTTTTACAGTAATTGTTAACACATGATGTCTGGTATAAACGGGTTTCCGTGGATTTAAACAGAACTAAAGAAAAAGTACACATCGTTTGAAGGAATACTGAAATTAGAATATCTCGATTGGCAGAGCTTTTCGAAATCCACAAATTTCTTTCTTTTAAAAATGTGGTTAAAAGTATTATTTTTTTAATGGAATATTTTTAGGTTTAAAAAGCACAATTTCATATTGACTGTTATATTGATTGGTTTAAAATTGTGATAAGCATGAAGCTGTCTATGTTATAGGACAGTTTTCTTACGAGTAAGGTATACCAATATCAGAAAGTTCGTTTTTGCGATGAACAGAAACGCTGACCCTTTTTTTAAATCATAATTATTTAAGTTAATTATTATTTCGTCTTTAACTCATTCACAAGGTTAAAATTATTACACGTAACATTTCATCAACTCTAATATATCTATACTTAGCCCGTTGGCAGCAATAGATTCTACCCATACGTTCACTGTACACCAAGATCAGCCGACACATTCATGCGAGCTTATTATGAACTACACTGTTTGCTATTCTGTCAGATATAATAATAAATTTTGTTTCGATGGACAAGTCTATTTAAGAAATTAAGAGAAATGAATTTATGTCCGAACTTCTTCAATTTACATTGAGAGTTTCACAAGTTTAAATAAAATGTAATGAACATTTTCAGTAAAATAAGATTAATTAAAGATATAATTTTACAATTGATGGTTCAAATCGTCAGGATATAATGACTTTTATTGTAAATTAGCCCGATTTGAATCTGTCGTATTTGAACGTTCTGTCATTCCATCATAACGTGGATCGATAATAATCATTGTAAACTTTTTACATATCATCCAACAAATATCATCCGTTTAATCTGAGCGTATGATATCTTATTGCTTCGCTGCTTAGTTTACGATACAGTTAGTGTCATATTGGTATATCCTGTTGATATAATTTCTTCAATCATGTATTCATTTGGCCAGTAAAGTATTTATATTTGTCGCTATGATGGTTTACGTCTTTTCTTCACTTAATGTATTAAAGCAGTGCATTTTAAAAATTCCTACGATAATATCTGTTAAACATAAATGCAAGTTTGTATTTTTTGTTCCTTTACCTATATTTTGAGACATGTTTTATCTTAATTTCATCTTCACTCAAACCATTAACATTAAACTTTATTCTGACGTAACGTGACATTTTAACTACAAATGCATATCTTAATGTTCAGTTTGTAACGTCTGATTTGTATGTATATAGGTTGTATTTTAATAATGTACAGGAGTAGTGTGTGTATGTATATATAATTATCATTAACGTTATAAAGTATTTATTTGTGAATTATTGTTTAATATTATGTTTAAAGTGTGCTAATGTGGTTGGGCGTGTGCTGACAGGCCGTTTGTAAGGCGACACTTAAAAAGATAACTTGCGGATGTTTTTGTTTCTTATTTTTATTTTCACTAAAAGAGATTATTTAACGTCAACTATATTTAATTCCGCATTTATGCTCACACTTATATACTAAAAATAAAATTTTCGACAATATATCAATGTCATAATTATTTCAGATTAGTAAAAATTGTTTTTGTTATTGTTGTTTCTGAATAAACTGAGCTTGATACCTAACAGAAAGATGACACGTAAGGTATCATTATTTTAACAAATAAGTGATATCCGTAAAAATGTAATTATTTTGAAATTTCACTGCTGTGCGGTGTCTTCAGGATGTTATATATTGAACAATAAACTGTACCAACACTATAACATTATGTTTTTTTGTAATATTTTTTATAAACAATCCTGTTGGATTCGCTGAATAGGAGAATTTTGTATCTTGCACTGCATGAACTTCAATGATGATATTAAAGGGGAAATATTGAATGAAGTGAATTCAGAAAGAAGAACTTGACAGATATGTGTGTTAAGTATTAATATTAAGCCGGTGCTAGGGGGGTGTGGAAGGTAGTTTGCAAGAACAGAGTCAAACAAACCGAGCCTGCAACATTTTCAATTTTGCTGTGTTTGGCTTTCTTTAGGTAGTCTTATTTTCTCTATTTTAAGTATTTTGTATCGGAAATAAAAAAAGCCCTCAAATCTTGTTAATAAATAAGGTAAAATTTATAAGCAAATGAATTTATTAGCATTTAGTCTACAAAATGAAATGATGCTTTTAGATCTTACTGACACATTACTGCTTAGAACTTGAGAGAAAAAATGTTAAAATAGAAAAATCTCTCTTCTCTAATCAATCAATAATTACTTTTGCGTGTGGTCTCGTGCTAATTGAAGATACATGAATGTTCGAATATATGACGAACTATTGATTTATTTATTTATTAAAGTCTCATTTATATACATGGTAAAATATAATACAACATAAAACATATCATAAGAACATTTATATAGCCATTCTATACAGAATTACAGGAGACTACAAATGTAAAAAGCACATAAATATATATAGCATTTTATAATTGCTGACAATTTACATGATAAAACTAATGAACAGATGCTCTAATCATATGTAAAACAAAGATAAGAATAAAGCAGTACGACTTTGATATAATATTGTTAACAAAGATAAGATTTACGTCTATTTAGAATATTGAAACAGGTTTTGGCAAATAGTCTAATAAAGGAGGTGTTATTCTATGATTGTTTAAAGGTATAGTTTTTCTATTTATCTCCCTCACCCCATCACCTAATAAAAAGTAAAGAAAACCTAGCTTTTCAGTCAGGTTGGAATTATAGATCACTGTATTTAACAGTTGCTTGACATGTGATTTTATTTCTGATATATATTGAGCTTCCATTCTACATGTATATAGACTGACATGAAAGTGACATTATGCTCATCTATGGGCATGCTATGAATTAGCGGATGAAAATCAAAATAAGTTCTACATTTTGTCATAATTGCTTGCAATCTTATAATTATTTTGCATGAATGATGAATAACTCACATGGTCCAAGGGAAATTGTGTCAATATCCATCAGAATTTACCTGTAATGTAACCTTCGATTTATTTTTTTATTTTAGGCAGATTTATATTTTATTCTTAATGTTTCCATTATTAGCTACTTGCCAATTGGGGCGTCCGTGGCCGAGTGGTTAAGGTCGTTCACTTCGAATCACTTGCCCCTCACCGCTGTTGGTTCGAATCCCGACAGGGACTTTGGATTCTTACATGTGAGGAAGCTATCCAGCTAGCTTACGGAACGTCGGTGGTTCTACTCAGGTGCCCGTTCGTGCCTGAAATAATGCACGGAAGGGCACCTGAGGTCTTCCTCCACCAGTAAAGCTGGAACGTCGCGATATGACCTATACTGTGTCGATGTGACGTAAAACCCAAAACAAACAAACAAAACTTGTCAATTACCACTTAAAGATCCTGTAACACATTTTGTTTTCATGGTTTTATTTCATAAATATGATGTTCAAATTAAGATTTGTCAATATTGTAAGTTCCAATAAGCATTATTTATAAAGATATTACCTAATTTAACATTTCATGTAAATAAAGGGAGGTAATTAGAAATTTATTTTCTATAAATTCTAAGTCAAATTTTCCAATAAGAATTGAATGCATATAATTTATAGATTAAATATAATGTGCACAAATATTTGCAGTACACATTGTACATTTTCTTCGATGTTTGAAAATTGTTTTATTTGCACGTCGCTGAGAAGGCACCGGGTATCGGCTTGGCTGGTAGTTAACTTAAACTGAAGCCTCCGTGGGTGTTATCACGGAACCGCTACTTCGTCAACAACTGCGGACCAGCTGCCGGTGTCCTGACTAATGCCGAGTGGAGTGGCCTTACGGTGTAGGCTGAGACGACGAGGATGGTGTGCTAGGGTGCGTGAGCCCCTAGTACAGATAGACGGCTTGTAAGGCAGGCCTTTTGCTGGCACCAACAGCCCTTTTCGGGGCTACCCTTTCATATTGTCACCGGTTACTGTACATTTAGGTTCTCATTGACCGCCGTACAGTGACCTACTTTTGGCTCAAAATTCATATCTATGGCTAATACTCCGTTGAAATTGCATTATCACCACTTTGTGCTTCAAAATTAACTCTTTTAGGGCATGACTGGTGACATGTCCGGGGTCCGTACTCGACAGCGAAAGCTGCTTTTTGTGCCCTTACGGGCGGATGGACCCTCATTAAGCATTAGCTACATACATAAGCTTATGAAATGTATAGTCAATTCGATTCAGATCAGTTCAACGAGACAAAGGACAATGAAAAAATTAGTATATTGCCACTTTAAATGAGTGTAGTACTATGGCAACATCTAGGGACGATTTTAATACAGTCTGAATGAGTACATACAGATAAACAACCTTATAAGTTATTATCTGTTATTAGTAACTTTATAGTGATTGGTATTTTGTATGGATGCAAAAATATGCCTTTACATTTGGCTGTGTTTAAGACAGGTTATTTCATATATTCAATACTTATTCCCATGAAAAGCTTCTGACATGCTCTCAATACATTTTAAAGTATTATTCAAAAATATTTATTTTCATTTCTAAGGCTAATTTCAGTCTTAAAACTAAAAACGAGCTTAGCTTAAATGAACTGTACTAAACTCCCTTTCTTTTTTCGAAATGGTAACAGTGTTTAAGAATGCTGCAGCATAACCAATTGCAACAGTCTTATTTAAGTTATTCGATATTTGTTTTAACATAATCCATTCAAAATCATGTTTTCATCAAGAAACAGCATTGTGTTAAACGTCTAGAATGCGCTTTTGAAAATGTTCAAAAATTATATTGATTGGTTTTTGCCAAATTAAGAACATTCCATTAATTCAGTAATCTTCTATTTGATATAACAAGTTTAAGTTCCCATGCCTGATATTATTTTTGGCTTTTTAAAAATGTACACTTTCTATCTTACAGACGTTATCTTGATTCCCGAAAATGTCTATAAAATATTTTGAAATATATCTCACTAGACTCGCAAATAATTCATTTCTTTCGAGTCAGTGATAAAACGTTATGATTAAATTTGCCTATCTGGCATACATTTTGCCTGAATATTGCCATAATACATTGTTCAAAGCAGAATATAACAGGTATTCCTGAAGGTGTTTTCCTACCTTCGACCAGTAACAAAGCGGAATAGCTCACAGGTAAAGTGCAGCGTTTTCAAGGACAAATGATGTGTTTTGTGATCCCACTTATCTTCAGTTTCATATAGTGTTTCTTCTTTTAAAATGTTATGCCTGTTTCATCCTTTTTTTACCCGGAAAGCATGTAGATCAACACATGTACGGCGGAATCAACAGCGACAACGATACTGCCAGAGAAACTTTACTGCAAATAAATATTTATATTCATATAAATGAAATTAAGAAATAAATAAAATGTTATAAAACAAAAACAAAACAAAAAAGCAACAACAAAAAACCAATGTACATGATAATCAACAGTTTAAGTCCAACTACGACACGAACCCGCACAAAACTGCATTTTTTACTAATGGAAACAATGTCTTTCAATGATAATACATCTTTATATCTGTCTTATGTTTGGCTTAGTCAAACTACGAACTAGTATATACACGTATGATGGGTAAAGCTATGAAACTTTTGTTTAGAACTTTAATTTAAGCTTTAATTCATATTTCTAATTCATAAAATTTAGATGATAATCATATTATAACAACCAATGACAAAATTAGTTTTGATAAACTTAAGATAAAATATTATATCTGCCTACCTTACTACCAACCCGCCTACTCCACGCAACCAACACGTGCATGTGCCGCGAGAGAGGAAACAAACATAATTTAAAGGATGATTTTAATAAGGAATTATTTAAGTCATTAAATTCTTAGCATCTTAAGAATTGATATACGAATTATACTGGTAGAGGATTTGAAACGCCCACTTCGCTGTGGATGAATATTTATTGGCATTTAGTCACACAAGCATGGTCGGTAAGTGACCTGACGGGTGATCAACAAGTGTTTACAAACGTTTTTCTGATGATACCTGAACTGTTGTTTTGTACACATTGATAGTTTATAAATATCCGTTTGTAACTTGTTGTAATGAATATCAATATCATTATCGTAATGTTTTATTACTGAAAAAAGTATAGCAACTCTATACTAGAATATACAAAGAAACGAGTAACAACCCGTGCAATTAATATCGCTTGTGTAACGGTATATTTATTCATTATTAGTTAAACACAAAGAAACATACGGTCTTTTATCAATCCATGCGTAGTCCTTTTTTGTTTGTTGGTATTGTGTTAATATATTTAACAAGTGGAATAACAAAACATACGAGTAATAATGAAAATGCAAAGGCGAGACTCGTTTGGTGAAACAAACTGCTAAAATTGGCATTTTTCTTGTCGTCATTGCTGATGATTCTGTTGCTAAGTTGCTATAGAAACAGAGCATTGGCCAATAGAATACCGATAACCGTTGAAAGCGACACTTTGATTTGTTGAGTGCATGGAACATATTTAAGCGGCTGTTCCTGCAGAAAGCACGGGATTTCTTCAAAGGCAAAGTGACAAGGAGTGGGTATTTATGGTTGTCTCCATAGTTTTGATGTTTTAATCTCTGAAGGATCTGTTAGTATTCAGAGGTAAGTAAATATATTCAATCTGATTTTTATATACAATGTTTGCTTATCTAGATTTGTATACGTTATAGTAATATCATTTACTTATCATGAAGAAGTTGATATCCAATTATTTTAAAGTGGATTGGACTACGTAAAATGGGCAATTTTTCAAGTTATTTTAACTTTTTTTTAAAGTTTTTTTTATCAGATAGTGATAAAAAACCCAACAGAAATGTATCATTTGCATATTCTTATAAAATATTTTTCGGAAAAAATGTTGATAAAAGTCAAAGTGAATTAGTTATAACATTTCTATGATGAATAATGATATTTTTTCTACAACATTTTTTAACTGCTATATGAATATAATGTAATATAGGACCATGTATTCTCACAGTTGCCAACTACAACCATATATATTTCTTTAGTGATTTGTTGTTATATCTGATATTAAAAACTACCAACATAATAATTGTTGTATTACAGACAATCAATTATACATGTCGACCAAAACCACTATTCGATACATTCACTTTCCTTAAACTAAGTAAAATTTACTTAAATTGGTACGCAGACATTTTTTTTATTCTCTGTATTTCATTTAAAATTTTCCTTTCATTTTTGAAATAAACAAACAAACCACCCAAAAACGAACATTCATTATTATTTATTGCACCTTTCATATTTGAAAATTTCTGCTAGAAGAAGGAAAAACAACAACAACAACTTATTTCAATGCCTAATAATATGTGAAGTGATACAGGAACTTTCGAAATGATGTTGTGGGGTTAAAACACATTGTTGAGTACAATACCAAATTTTATCGTTGTCAAACCGATATTGGACTAGGCGTTTGCGGCAGTGTACGAGACCGATAAAATCATTATTGCTCTCAACGATTTATATTGGACTGTTTATTACATTTTTTCTTTAATTCTATCCGAAATACTTACCATAATGACATCTTTATATCTTCAATGGCAAATATTTGTTCGAAAAAAATAAAAGAAACGAACTTTTGGCATGAATTTCAAGAAACTACATCACTCCCTACCGACACACACAAATTCATATTTAGTCATTTATTTGAGGTATTTAAACGACTGTCATTTTCTTTATTGGAGGCAGAAGCCTTGAATATTGAACATCAATGTTTTTATATCAGATTTACAGAAATTAACAAGGCATTGTACTCCCTGAGCATGGGAAAATCCAATTTTATAGATGAACAAATATAAAACCGAAACTGTTAAAGTAGAATCTAGTACCTTTATTACGAACTTGTGTTTTTAGCTTCTCAAGAAAAAAATATGTAAAAATCAAGCAACATTAAGTGTAATTGTTCGTTTAAGAATTGAAATCTAAATGTTCAAAGGTGAACATAAGTTTAAAAACGTCGGCAACCACGTATCATGTTTTATAATTTTGCATTTCATTTCTATATTTTACAAACTGACTTTTGGGCCGCCAGTATGATAGAAAGAAACAGATGTGTACCACTCTGCATGTACTTAAAAACTAAAGTTAAGTATTTATCGCACCTAGGTTACGTTTCTAACTATCATTGACTTGCTGTCGATGTTATTGTTTCACAGCAAAATCAGTATTGCCTATCCTCGTGTATATCCAGAAACTCATGAATATGCAAATAACGCAGGAATTATTTCAAAGTAGCACCGCATTGTGCAATACTGTGGCCGAAACGAGAACCACGGAAAGTATATGAACCAAAAATAGTTATTGTTCATTAAATTGAAAGAAATGAATTAGCGCGTGTGGTTGCCGAGACATTTATCTTAAACGTCATCAAAAATATTTTCATGAAAATGTTTATTTTTCAAGATCTAGAGATTGACGACATGACAAGCGTATTGATGGCGACTTTTGCGTTTTATCGATATCTTTAAATACAAAAACGTATATATTACATTATGTTTTTGTGTTGTTTTTTTTCTCATTCGATGTTCCTGAGACATTTGCCAAAGAACTCGTGCTATATTATTTTAAATTCTGCAGATAAAATGTGAATGAGACCATTTTACGAGGTATGTCGAATTTTTCCTTAAAGTGTTGTACGGCACAAGTAGTTTAGCAAATGTTTAATATTTACCGAATATGAAGAAAAATGAAGTTTTAAATGCCTTAATGTATTTATTAATTTTGACGAAACACAAAAGTCGCCTCCAAAGCGGTAGTCAGGTCTTCATTTTCGCGAATTACTTTAAAAAGTCAACATATTCTAGGGAAAATAATAATGCTGGTCATATGCGTATGCGCTTATTCATTTCTTTTAATTTCATTTAGGATAAACATTTTATAAGGATAAACTATTTTGGTCCGTTTACTTTCTGTGTTACTCGTTTTGGCAATAACGTATCATAGATCGAGCTTTACTTTCACTTTTTTGTTGTTGTTGTTGTTGTTGTTGTTGTTGTTTTGCACGTTCTTGCGTTACTGGATATACACGGCGCCATATTTACTCTGACTATTTCTTCATGAAAATTGGGAGAAACGGACTAGACCGACCACTACTAATATCTTTAATTAAGTGGTTAAAACTCTTCGTTATGTATTTATTAATGAAGGATTTATGGCTTTTAACTTTAATTCAAACGTTTTTCGAATATAGAAACCACATAATAAATAAATGAACGAACGAATAAATAAATAAATAAATAAATAAATAAATAAATAAATAAATAAATAAATAAATAAATTTAAATTCATTAATAATGAAATAAATTAAGGAAATAAAATATAGCGACCCCATAGTAGTTCTGCCAGTGACCAACCAGCAGAATACATGTAATCCTTTTGAAGACTTCTTCTCGAGAATGTACGGACCATTTAACAATTCTTCTCCACACAGAAAAATAATCCTTTGTCTAGATTACAGTATTAGCCAGGCAGATAATGAGGAAAGATAACATGATAGAGATTATTTGGACAGATAATTGTGTGTACAAAACATGCTGAGACAATCCCCTGTAGAAATACATCATAATTAAAAATCTACAATTTTTTTTGCGTCATGGCATAATCATTTGACATTTAAGCTTACAAAGTAAAAGAAACTCCTAATAAGGCAAAAAAAGCAACGATACAAAATCATTTGACATTTAAGCTTATAAAGTAAAAGAAACTCCTAATAAGGCAAAAAAAAAGCAACGATACAAAACGGGGTGAATGCTTTACGGTACGGTGAAACCAGGTAGATTTCCATAAGCGGGAACGACCAATCCTTCTCGGGCATATTCATTAGACTCAAGAAGCAAAATTAAAAAGAAATGTTTTGTTTTGTTGTTGTTGTTGTTTTTATTTAAACAACTTGTTTACAGAAAGAAAACTGTTAATACAGGATATAAGGCTTTCATCTTTGTCAGTATTACATGTTTTACTCTTCTAAATTATATATTTCAGATAACTTTTCGTCATGAGATTCCTTGGTGTGGTACTGGTGGTAGTGGGCATACTTGGTAAGTTTGATAACATGGGCATAATGGTTAAATTTATTTATACATGTACATTATTTTATTTTTGTTCATTTTATTCTATAAAAAGCTTATTTAACTGATTTATTATTTATTATTTATTTCATATTATTTTGAATTGTGTTTGTTGGTATATTTGCCGGAATCATTGTTTCAAATATATAATTGAGCCGCACCATGACAAAACCAACATAGTGCGTTTGCGACCAGCATGGATCCAGACAAGCCTGCGCTTCCGCGCAGTCTGATCAGGATCAGACCCTATTACAAGTAGAGAAACTGATAGCGAACAGCATGGATCCTGATCAGACTGCGCGGATGCGCAGGCTGGTCTGGATCCATGCAGGTCGTAAACTCATTATGTTGGTTTTGTCGTGTCGCGTGTTGTTTTTCTTAAATTTTGTTTTAATGCGTTATAGCCTTTTTCAGAGTAATTTTGGTATTCGCACTAAGTGAATAAATCTTTGCCACCAATATAGAACCAGGTTATTGGTTCAGTATGACCAGGCTTTAGTCTGTTGGCTGACAACCTTAATATCCCCGACATCGATAAAGAACAATCATAAAAACTTGAAGCTGACAAGTTTATTAATGAGCCAGCAGAATTAAGTTGAAATCAACGCATTTAAATGTAAAGAACGGTTCTAGATTTCTTTCATTTCTTACCTAAGCGATATGAAACTTGCTTTATAACACGACGAGACACGTATTCATACTCCATTATGGGCGTCCGTGGCTGGATTGTTAAGGTCGTTGACATCAAACCGCTTGCCTTTCATTGTTGTAGGTTTGAATTTAGCCAGGGGAATTTAAATTAATGTGAGGAAGCGATCAATCCAGTTAAAGGAACGTCAGAGGTTCTACTCAGGTGCTCGCTTGTGCCTGATATAATTCATGGATGGACCCGAGGTCGTCCTTCATAACTAAAGCTTAAAAGTAGTAGTAATACGGCCATTGATGACAGTTTTACCATGAAAGCTTTACTTGCATTATTTACCGTGCAAATTGACAGAAAATTGACAAGAGTAAAAAGACGATAATAATCAATGTTGACCAGACACGCCGTTTGATTGTTCATTTGTTATAAGTAAAGGCAGGAAATTGGACTAGTAACGACAAAATGAAGTGTAATTTTCTATTTTTACATTTTTACAGTAAAATTGTTTAAGTTAGGTCAATACGGTATATATAAAAACAAAACAGTTTGGATCCCGAAACGTTAATGATTCGGTCGCGCTACTTGCAAAATAATGACATGGTATTATTTGAATATTTATTTGTTTGAAAGATTAGAGACAAAAAATAGTATGCTCTCCTTTCAATAAAAGACATCCCCACAAGTATTTGGTCAAAACCGGGTATTTTGACGTTTTCCATGATGCATCCCGAGCAGGCGCATCAAGTCACAGCTACAAGCGCCTCAAGGTGTGAATGGAAAAAATACATTCATGCGGTAAAAGGTCACAGGCCACAATACAAAATATTGATTGATGTCTTTGAAAATGAGGCAAAATTCGATATAGGGGGATTGTATCGGATTGACTTGTATTTGAATTACCAAGTACAGTCGATGACATAGAATTGCCCTAACCAGCGATATGCCGGTATAATTCATTACTGTCACTCCTGTACTAAAAATGTCCGTGCCTTATTAAAGTCAATGGGCGATATATTTCATAAAAAGTAATTATGTGACAATTATTCACAAAGTAAGCTTACATAGATTAAAGCTAACATGAAAGTTCAGGCATGTGAAATAAAGCAAAACTGGACTTAAAATGACGCAAAATTTATGTTCATGGTTCATGAGTATCTTTTCCAAAAAAAAAGAATTATTGTAAGTTTTCCTTTTGGTGCAAGATCTGAGTTCAAGCGGAAAGACATCAGCACACCGATTAACCTAAACATGCTCTCCGTTAAACAGCTCCAGCGAACGGAAAAAATCATCAATATGTGTTGAGAAAATCGCACTGTTGTTTTTCAATCCGTCAAGATGCCGTGCGACCTGTCTTCCTTACGCTGCAGGACAAGAAAAAATGGCTACTTGTCGTCTAGCTTTTTTACGCTAGTGGTAGTTATAAAAAAAACAACCGCAAAAATCAATTGGGTCATAAGTCTTCATTAAAGTATGTATTACATGTCTTTAAAAACCATGATGTAATCTCATCATTATAATAATTTGTTATGAAGTGCTTGTTTCTTTACTGAACGTTTCTCAACATACATTCAAATTATGTTATTTCTTCTAAGAGTGTTTCTGCTACGTTTCCTATATGATAAATAATCAATGTAATCCAATTCGTCGTACATGTAAATTAAATTATTCTTTCTATATGATTTCTGGTTAATATCTTTCCGTCATTTAACAATCACTTCTTCGTTATACGTTATACGTCCGTGTTATAGTCAGTTATGCTATCTTTCTTTAATTTCCCTGCTTCGTTAAACAAAAAACATATCGATTTCCTGAGATTAATTTAATAAGATTGACGTTTCGTTAAAAAAACAATGCATGTTCGCTTACAGTATAATATGGCTTACCAAAGTTTTTTTTGTATTTTATAGACTTTATTCACATAATAAGCCTGTGCATTTATGCAATATTTTTAGTTTTAGTTGCGAAATTATCGTGCTTGTCTTAAACCGCTAAAGTAATTACTAGTATATAAACAAGTCTGTTTGGAAGCAGTTAACACTTCTCAAAAGTAGATTTTCATGTTTTAACTGATTGATATTTTCGTAAAACTTGTTTATATCAAAATAGTGAGTTTCTTGTTTATAATGCGTTATTTTGTTTATGTTAATTAATTGGATGGTTTGTTGGTTGATGTGTCCTTCCTTCCTTCCTTCCTTCCTTCCTTCCTTCCTTTCTTCCTTCCTTCCTTCCTTAGTTAGATTTGTTCTTCCGTTCGGTCGGTCGGACCTTTTTGTTTTTTAAATAAGAATAATAAAATACGATAATAAATGGATCAATAAGGAAAATAAATATTCGGATCAATAATTAAAAGCATTTTTTAAGATAATCATAAAAAAATAAAACAATGTCAAGTTCATTAAAAAGTGTAATATGTATAGTACTCTCTTAACCGACGTTTCATAGATATAGTCAAAGTGTGCAATATTCATAATAAAATACTTCAATGCGTTTCAAACGCGTTCAAATATGTATATCATGATTATAAGCTTTATTGAATTAATTCATTCGTACAATTAAAATGTTACTCTCTTTTTAATTGCTTTGTTTGTAGTGGACACCTTAAGATAGCTTCTACCGTTTGCAAATGTCAACTTTGTCACTTATCTGTTTTTTGTTTCAGTATCTTTTTCTCTCATTTTTATTCATCTGCTTTTCGAGTTATTGTTCCACCATCCTTGAACTTTTTAAATTATCGTTGTCTTTTTCCTACATATATTTTTCTCGTTTTGTCTATAACCAATTCCACGACGGCTTTACAAACACAGAAATATCTTGGGAAAGATGGCAATTTCAATCCATGGAAGCATTATAAGCACAAAGCTTAGGGATAAAACGAGGCTTGATTACCATTTCATTTGTCGTCTGTATGCAAATACCAAACGACAAAAGCATTCTACGCTGAACTGTCATGTCTTATCTATGTTTGGATTGACAATTTTATCATGCTAACAATACCTTGATCTAACAGTAATCAGACGTCATTCGTCATGAATTTCATTTAAATTGTATTTGTTTATGTTGTTGTGACACAAAAGTAAATTATGAAGCCTGTCTTTTTAGTTGTTTTCAAAACCTCTCCTCTGCAATTTACATTTATAACAAATATAAATATGTACAAATAAAATAGATATATTCAGATTTACAAATACGAAAACCAAAATGCTAACGAAAACAGCCTCTTAATTATTAACAGAAAACAACGATTTTTTTTAAAATTTTAAAAACTGTGCGCACTTGTGTAAAAAATCCTGACTCACACCTTGTAAGACAAATCGCGTGCTTTAAATAACGGCATTCCCGTGGTCATTGTATAAATTAATTGCATGCTTATGACGTTATGTAAATTCATATGCAACTATATACAAACTCTCAATGAAAATTTTAGTTTTGATGGTTTATTGTATATGATTTATATGTAATTTGCAAAATAGAATCCAACGGATTCGTTGTCACATAAGGGAATATCTGGCTCTAAGAATTGTACACAGAAGCATGTATACATTCATACTCATAATTATAAAAGGCTATTTTGGGAAAATAATTATTACCTTTTTGTGACAGATAGGATTTTTTTATTCTAAAAATGTTTACATAATGTATAATTATGCGACCTTCTCAAATCAAAGTCGTTATGAGCCGCACCATGACAAAACAAACGTACTGCGTTTGCGACCAGCATGGATCCAGACCAGCCTGCGCATCCACGCAGTCTGATCAGGATCCATGCTGTTCGCTTACGAACCCTATAACAAGTAGAGAAACTGATAGCGAACAGCATGGATTCTGATCAGACTGCGCGGATGCGCAGGCCTGTCTGGATCCATGCTGGTCGCAAACCCATTATGTTGGTTTTGTTGTGACGCGGCTCAAATCATTTCCTTATTTGTGAACAAGTAGTTTTAAGAAAAAATCCTCATACAATATCTTGGGAATTGAAGTAATTTCTGTCCACGGAATAATTACAATACTGAAGTATGTGATTAATTATAAATTGATTACCTTTTCTTATGTGGTTTGTATGTAACGGCAACATTTCTTTAAGAATTTTGGTGTAAGTACTTTATCTAAAGTTGAATTTCTGTCGAAAACTACTTCACTAAATTTGAACAAAAATATCAAAATTCAAACGTTTATTGTATAATCAGGCCAGCAGCCCATACACAGTCATATTACATAATACATAATTATAATATAACAGTCATGTGAGGTAATATGATATATGTGTTGTCAAGAGAACAGAACAATACGCAAAATTATTTTAGACATAATTTATGATACAAAGTCAATTAAATAATATTCATTCTTTTGTAGCAAAATACAAATACATAGTTTTGTAATGACTTAAAATTACATTTTGACAAGACATAAAATTAAAAAACAGTAGTACATTTGGAGTCTGATTATATACAGAAGGTATGTATCTAATCCTAAATTTTAACAATTACCGGTATATTCTGTGAACAAAAAGGATTATAAAATTAAGCTTGGATCGTGTCTGTTGTTGATTCTGTTTGTGCTGTCAGTGTTTGAAGTTATAAAGTCCAAATTATTTCCTATATTATGATATTATACAACCCTCACATAACATGCACGTGAGCTCGTGGGGAGAACACAACTTTTAATTAAATTTTCTGATTCTGAGACCTTGTCTTTCTTTGAGAAACGATTAATATTTAATCTAGATAGGCGTTAATAACTGAAATATATGCGAGCGCACGTTTAAAATAATTTGAGCCGCGTCACGACAAAACCAACATAGTGCGTTTGCGACCAGCATGGATACAGACCAGCCTGCGCATCCGCGCAGTCTGATCAGGATCCATGCTGTTCGCTATCAGTTTCTCTACTTGTAATAGAGTTGGTAAGCGAACAGCATGGATCCTGATCAGACTGCGCGGATGCGCAGGCTGGTCTGGATCCATGCTGGTCGCAAACCCATTATGTTGATTTTGTCGTGACGCGGCTCATTTTAGTTATTATGAATCGCTTAATGAAATAAAATACACGAATTCGTTTCTTTATACATTGTAAGATTTACTATGACCAATTAATAATACATGAATGGTGTGTCATCAGAAAAGTTGTCCAAAGTCTTCTGTTTATTTTCTTAATTAAAAAAAAACATTTACTTTCTTCCCTACACCTTCTTGAAAGTATTGTATATGTACATTATGTGTATTATATCTACTTTATCTTGGGTGAAATTTAGTGTGTCACGCTGAATTCAGAATAGTATCACAAAATACTGGGAATGTTATAGATGTTTTATTGAATATTTTTTGCATGAATTTTAATCATATCAAAAACTTTGATTCTATCTTTTATTGCATTTATTTCAGAATCTGCATGCAGTCTAATGCAATTGTATAACCATGTGGCATTTATCTTCCCGCATTGCATACAGTTCTTGTCATTTAACATTGCAACGATATAAGTTTTTTTGATTGTCAGTAAGTTGTTTATAGAAGAGGGAAATTTTCAGACTAGGTATCATGGGAAGGGCAATAATTTCACCCTTTGATTGATTGCATTGAAATAAACAATTGTGACCTTTTCAATTCAAAATGTTTTGTACCATTGTTATCACCATAGTTCCTAGCAAATCTTCCTGAAATACATGAAAGAAAGCGGGAATGATTACATTTACAAAGCTTATGATTAATTAAGGATTAATTACCATTTCAAATGTCGTCTGTATGCGAATTACAAGTGCAAAAATGGAAGAAAACACTGCAAAAACAGATTCAGCCCTGTCAAATTGTGTTTTATTTATTTCCACTTGAGAGGAATAATACATTACTTTGTTCCTCTTTCATTTACTATCAAATAATTGCTGGTGACTTTTTCGTAATTAAGTATTGCCAAAGCAAGTTTCTAAATATCGTTTATTTATGACACGAGAAACTACTTCTTATGGCTGGAATAAATGTGAATACTTTTTAAGGATAAAAAGTATAATGACGCATGTAGTTTTCAACTGTTTGCATTTCTATAGTATTTATCTTTCATCGTGCATATTTACTCATAAGACCCGTAATTTTTTGCAAAGATTTCGTTATTTATTTGTTTTATATAAAATTCATTTTTATTTTGTTTTTATTTTGAAGGAAGCTGTAAGTTTATAAACACTCTTAGATCCGTTCCTAGAACCAACAATACTGAGAAATGCGTGCTCAATGAAATAACGGATCGACCGTCGCGTTAACCACTAGGCAATGTCCCAAATTATATTGCTAAATAGACTTAAAAGATGAAAAGATATTGTCATTATACTGAAGTCATTAAAGATCCTGTAACACAATTTTTCATGGTTTTATATCATAATTATGATGCTCAAATTAAGATTTATCAATTTTCCATACAGCATTATTTATAAAGATATTACCGAATTAAACATTTCATGTAAATATAGGGAGGTAATAAAAATGTAAATTCTATAAAGTCCAAGTAAATTTTTTCAAAAAGAAATGAATTCATATATTATAATGATTACACATAATATGTCAAATATTTGCGGTACATATTTTACATATTCTTTGATGTTTGAAAATTGTTTTATAAGCATAAGTATATACATATATATAAGTTCACTAAAGTGTGGTATGCAACCTCAATTACAACATACAGGATCTTTAATACAAATAAATAAAAGAATATAAAAATAACAATATATTTCAGATTTGAGAGTGATATCACATTAAATTAAATACTTCCACACAACCAAAGGTAACATTGAGCTGTAGAAAGTATGATTATTTCTCTAAATGTATCAATTATGAACAGTTGAAATGAAATGGGACATATTTTAAAAAGCAACGCTAATTTACACTATTCAAGATCATCTAGAGTTGTTGTATTATTTTGTGCTGGCATTAGCCAAAAAAAAAATGAGTTTGCTCTTTCTGTTTCAAAATTATGTTTCAATGAAGGGTGTGTATCTAATTTGTTTTGTCCCTCTTTATATTTGTTTGCGTCCTAACCTATAATCTGAATTTGTTTATGAGACAGGCATTATTTTGTAAGCAACGTTACACCGCCAAGATGTCAAAATATCGAATACATCAAATATTCGTCAACATTTACAATTACAGCATTATTGACACGTACTTTTTATTTTTGTAAATTATACTCATATGTTTCAATGTAAATTATTCCCAAGGTTTGAAACGTCATCTTTATTGATAAACCCCAGTTTGGTGGAAAACTGTCTTTCAATAAAGAAGTGCAATTTTAATTTCAACGCGAAGTCATGTTATCCACATAGCAGTTGGTGTTGCTATATGTTTACCAAGAATCTGTATTATGAAATGTACATGGCTGTTTCTAAAATAAAATACTTTAATTTAAAAGAATAATCATTATTTATATTTGCATTTTATTTTTATTTTATGGTTTATGTATATAATTAAATCCTGGTTTATGTTTACAATTTAATCATATTTCTTGCCTTTATTTATGTTCACGTATTTATAATAAAACGGTATGACTTTTTTATTTTTTTTATTTCAAGGTCTGTTTGTAAGAACGAATTGACTTGATCTATGCATAAATTGCTTTGATCAGACACATTCTACTCTAAATGCAAATATGTGTGTTAAGTGTGTAAAATGAATGTTTCTTGTTCACCGAAGAAAGGGTTGCGTCCTGTGAACTTTGCCTTTGCCTTGTTGATCTTTATTCTCGTCTCATCAAGATAATATAGAAACTTAGTTTTGTTTCTTTATGTCATATTTTTTAAATCAAAGATCATGTTGATAAAATGATTATACTAGTACTTCTTAAACAAAAGAAATTTTCTGGATAACATTTTTTTTATCATAGGTTTTGATCATTCTAGCAAATGTGTACTGTTGCAAAAGATGTACAAAATGCCAGAAAACATAACATAGTTGTGACACTACATAAAGCTAATGTTACGATCATCTAAACTTTCAGGTTTGTCGGACAGCATTAATTCAAACAATAATGATGGTGCACCAGAAGATAAAGTTAAGTTCTCAGTAGATGCTTCAACTGAAGAAAAAAATAGCACAGACGAATTATTAAATGAAATGAAGGACTTTGCATCCGATGAAATTGAAAATGAAGAACAAAAACAAAAGCGATTTGGTTACGTGCTCGGAAATGGATTTAGTTTTGGAAAACGGTTTGGTAATGTTCTTGGTCGTGGAATGGGTTTCGGAAAACGATACGGACACGTCCTCGGCAAAGGTATGGGTTTTGGAAAGCGATTTGGCTCTATTCTAGGGCACGGTATGAGCTTTGGGAAGCGTTATGGTTCCCTTCTTGGCAAAGGATTTGCATTGGGAAAGCGTGCCCCGGAACTTTATGAGCAGGACGACACAGCTGCTTACAAAAATGATTTTCAAGACATATTCAACGAGCAAGCACCTTCAAAAAGAGACAATGATGAAGATTTTGATGAAGATATGGAATTTGTAGATCTTTCTGGACCAGTAGATGAAAAGAAATGGGTGTTAAATAATATATATGGTAGTGACTTTAATTACAAAAGATCAAAACGAGATACAAGAACGAAAAGATACATCCATAGCTATGGAAACGTTCTTGGAAAAAGATTTCCATTCAGACAAGGTGATGAAACGATTGAACCGAACTCTATACCTGGTGGTCTTGGTCTGCAAGCTTCGATAAGTAGGGTCCCTGTTATTGAGAACGATGTACCGCCATCTGAAATCGATAAGCGTTTGTTTTCTGGATATAACGGACGTGGGTATATTTCGGGAAAGAGACAATATAACACAAGACGAGGTTTTGGAAGTGTTCTTGGCAGAGGGTTTTCATTTGGAAAGAGAGACATTGAATCTGATAACGATGAGCATGTATACACAAATGATGAATATCTTGAAAATACTGCAGATGATTCCAGTGACTTCACACACAATAAAAGATATTTTCATAGCAGTCCGGGTCATCGCTTTTTATTTGGGAAACGTGATATGGAAAATAGGGACAAACGATTTGGCTATGTTCTAGGTAGGGGATTTTCATTTGGCAAAAGAAGAGACCCTTCCCCGAGAAAAAGGTATGGACTTGTTCTTGGTAGAGGATTTTCATTTGGGAAAAGGTCCTCAGATTTTCCCAGGTTAGATCGATTTGATTCTACGGCTGATTTAGAGAATGATCAGCAATTAATCAAACGTGCTGGCCTTCTGCTCGGAAGAGGCTACATGTTTGGAAAAAGAAATAACAAAAGATTTGGATTGATTTTAGGGAATGGGTTTAGCTTTGGGAAAAGAGGAGATACTGATCAACAAAATATAGAACCAGAGGTCAGTCAATTTATTGACAACCATGGAAATATTTTTATCAGGACGGACTTAATTGAGGGTTTTGACAAGGTGTTTTCGGAATTTATAGACAGGCGTGAACAGAAAGTATTTTCTTGCGCCGGGCAATTGATCACCCACCATGTTGATTTAGAAAATGAAATGCAAAGCTCGTATGATGACGATACAAGTCCTAAAGTTATAAAGAAACGTTCATCAGACCAAGAAGTCAAATTTTTTATAGATGAAGTGGGGCATATATTTGTTAATGCTGATGACATTTCAAGTGACGAAAGAGCAATCTTAGGAGATGATGAAGACATAGTTTATTACACATGTGATGGACAGATGATAGAATTATTCGGTGATACTGACAAATATGATGACCTATCAAAGCGAGGTTGGGGAAGCGTTTTAGGGAGAGGTTTTCGGTTTGGAAAGCGACTCGGTTCAAAAAAGAGATTTGGTCACATCCTTGGCAATGGATTTTCGTTTGGCAAATAATGTGTGATGATGAGCTATGCATGAGAACATCTTCAATATTGAATAGAAAAATAAAAACAAGAACTAAGGAACTTTTTTCAAACGTTCAATAAAACAATTCATCCTATAAATGAATTAGATAAATCATATAATGATTGTCGAAACTCTTTGACATTTATTTTAAAGAAATACATACTTGTTAATTTGAATTCTCTTTATGACTTTCTTTCATAGAAAACAATTTTAGTAAGCATGAGATACAAAATGTGAAGTTTTAACATTTATTTTCGTAAAATGTCATGTGATTGTTCTTGTTGTAATATAAGTAATGAATGAACGTATATAAGTCCAGCATTAAGATATAGGTGAATTCCTTAAGGTTCCCTGTAATAATGGGAATATTCCATAAGATGTTTGCATATTAAGAAAGAATGAGTTGTTTCTTATCAAGTTAAAAGAATAATAATTATCAAAATTGTTAAATTGATCAATAGACATCAAAGCCAGATATTTTCCCTTTTTAAATATTTTTGAAATGAGCTAAGCAGAGCAAAATGTGATATTGTGCCTAAAAATAAAAACGATAATAAAAAAATTCTTGTTCTTTATATACTGCCACGAATAAAACTATAATGTGCTTGATTGTTACGACTAATTTACACTTAAATCATTAGACATATATTTTGATATTGTAGAGCAAATAACGAAATTAAAATGAACTTAAAAGAAATCTTGATTTCAAGTGAGGGCGTGTTAGTTAACTTGTGAGAGCACATATAACGTATGCTACATAGTACTATAAAAACCACTAAAGGGTTTTTATATCTGGTCTTAACAGCAGGTTTATCTCATTGATGAATTTAAGGCATGTATACAGTACGGTATGATTCATCTGCCAAAAACAGCACATTTTACGTTTCAACGAATAAAAATGCCTTCTTTCTCCTTTATCAGATGTACTGGTGTATAGTACTTTTAATATTTCACATAAATAAGTGTTTTATTGTTTTACATTGAATTGCATAACGTTTACTTAAATCTAATGCCAGCGCATAATTTAAAAGGATCAATGGCATAATGTTTTGTATTGTCCGTCGTAAGACACATTTAATTTTGGCCATTATGTCTTCAGCCCCTGGCCGTGAACTTTCATACTTGGCCATTATATCTTCAGCCCAAGGCCGTGAACTTTTAAACTTGGCCATTATGTCTTCAGTCCCTGGCCGTGAACTTTCATATGCAGGCTTCATAACCTCAGATCCGCTTTCAAAATTTCGTTTTATTTAGTTTCGCCCATTGTTTTCTCGTTTAGGGCATACACATTCTTTTACTTGGGGACCATACGGCGCTTTTCAAGGAATGATACTACTGTGTCACATTGAAGGTTCCATGATAACCGCCGTATGAACACATATGCGGATGTTTCAAAATTCAAAATTTCACAATTTTTGTGTTTAAATGTTGAATTCTGCTAAAGCCGGTGCTAGAGGGCGTGAACGGTAACTTTCACTTTCGAATTACCGTCCATGAACAGGCTCAATCAAACCGAGTCTGCAACATTTTAAATTTTGTCTTGTTGGGCTTTCTTTTGGGATTCTGTTTTTCACTATTTCATACTCGGCCATAATATCTTCAGTCCCTGGCCGTGAATGTTCATACCTGGCCATTATGTCTTTAGTCCCTGACCGTAAACATTCATGCTTTGCCATTATGTCTCAAGCCCCTGGTCATGACTTTTCATACCTGGCCATTATGTCTTGAGTCCCTGGTCGTAAACTTTCATACTTGACCATTATGTCTTCAGTCTATAGCCGTGAACTTTAATACTTGGCCATTATGTCTTCTGCTCCTGGCCATGAACTTTCATACTCGGCAATTTTGTTTTCAGTCCATGGCCGCGAACTTTCATACTTGGTCATTATGTCTTCAGCCTCTGGCCATGAACTTTAACTCTGAGTCATTATGTCTTTAGCTCCTGGCCGTAAACTTTCATACTTGGCCATAATGTCTTTAGCCCCTGACCGTGAACCTTTATACTTGGCCATTCTGTCTTCAGTCCCTGGCCGTAAACTTTTATACTTGGCGGCAACAATCTTGCCCCTGGTCGTAAACTTTAATACTTGGTCATTATGTCTTCTGCTCCTGGCCATGAACTTTCATACTCGGCAATTTTGTTTTCAGTCCATGGCCGCGAACTTTCATACTTGGTCATTATGTCTTCAGCCCCTGGCCATAAACTTTAACTCTGAGTCATTATGTCTTTAGCCCCTGGCCGTAAACTTTCATACTTGGCCATAATGTCTTTAGCCCCTGACCTTGAACCTTTATACTTGGCCATTCTGTCTTCAGTCCCTGGCCGTAAACTTTTATACTTGGCGGCAACAATCTTGCCCCTGGTCGTAAACTTTTATACTTGGACCGGTTAGAGTCACATCTTGACAGATTGTAACATGACATGCTATTAAAATTTTATTCTTTTTTCAATAAAAAAAGTCACAGTTATCTCGTTATTGTTTAAAAAGATATTCAACATAACATTATATAAATAACACATGGGTTTGTGGGTAACAGTAAAAATATCACCCCGAGGAAAATACATGTACTGTTATCCGAGGCTTAGTTTTTTACGAAAGTTGATAATACTGTGATGATCTGAATTTGTAAATTAAATCTAACTGTAACAAAAATAAACCAAGAGTACATGTAGCAATAACTAAACTGTCCTTACCTTGCAAGTTTTAAGTGTACTATAGGCCTACTTGAGAAGCTGTTTTTCTTTTATTCTTTAAGCAATTAAGTGATGATATCTACCAGTCCAGTCATAAACATACAATAAGCTGTGTTTATTTAGAAATCAAAACACTAACCCATTTATAAGGTTTTGATCTGTGAAAACTGATCTTTTTGCATCCAGAAAATTCTTCGCATTGTTTTTGACAAAGTGCATTTAAAAATAACGATGATATCCTATAGATATCTGTCCGGTTAAAATTGTTAAATAATCCTTTGTTACATGCTTTAATCGTCTGCATGTTCCAGTTTGACACAAAATTATTCACATTACAATTACTTCCGTTGAAAACGGATGTTTACTTTTTGACTATTTAACAAAAAGATAGTTTATATGCGAAAAGAACTCTACGGTGCAAAGAACTAAATTTTATGAGAGTAATGGTTACTTTGGTGATGCCCTTGGCTCTATCGTCGAAAATAAGAATGAATCGAGAGAAAAATGGCGGCCATTTTATTTTATTTTATTTTGAAAATAGACCACGTGACCAGATTTTATACTGTTTACATGTAACAGTACAACATTCTTAGTCACATGGTACACTTGCATTAACAGTAAGAATAATCTCCAGAGGCCTATGGGAAATTAACATTAAGAAAAAGGTGAGGGGTAATAAAGCGTTTGTATCGTCTTAATAATTGTATTTTGATACCTATCTATGTAAAAAAAATCGATAAAATAGCATTATGTAATAGAAAGAGCATCGAAACATGAGGCTACCTGATTTGTACGAGGGGGCGTAGCCCCCGAGTATTAATCAGATTGCTGAGTGTTTTGATGTTCTTTCTCTTTTGTATCATAGTCAAACATAAATTCCCTGTTGTCACAATATGAAACCCCAGAAAAAAGTAACCAATGAATGAGCATCAGAATATGATATTCATGTCGCTTTTCTCTTCCGTCACAATACGTAAACCCCAGAAAAATGAGCCAATCAATGGGCATGCTCTGGAGTGCGGGTAACTAATACCTGCACTCCAGTTAACGCACGGTGCATGTATATGTATACGATTTAACTCTGACACATTTTCAACAGAAAGGTCCCCAAACTATGATACAATGCAGCTTTACTTGATTAAAATTAACGTTTAGTCTGATAATTGTTAAATATATGTTTGAATCACATGGTACTAAGGTGATATAAACCCCTAATCAAATGAAGAATTTATAGTATTTATTTCATGCTTTTTGGTGGTTTATAGAAATATATCAGTGATTTAAAACTGGTAATTTCACTGTTTGAAACAGTGAAATTACCACTTTGATAATTTCACTGTTTTGAATTTAAGCCCCTTACGTTGTTTCAGTGAAATACCAGCGTACACAGTACTGGGTACCAACTTAATGACGTGATGTCGTAAATGACGTCACGTTGTATTATTATTTGGCGCGCTTTTCATTCAGTTTTAGGTTAAATGTCTTTTTAAAACGTTTCTTTGCATATAATAAAAAGAAAATTTGTTTAGTTTAGTGTAAAATTGAAATATATTTCACCTTGTGAACACCAAAAGTTCATATTTCACTCGTGGCTGCGCCACTCGTGAAATATACCTTTTGGTGCTCACTCGGTGAAATATATTCCGATCTTACACTGAACTAAACAAATATCCTCTATATATTCATGCTTTATTTGCACTAGTAATTATGGCTCTGTATTTCATAGTAATTTAATCGCAAGTAGCTCGCACCACGATTATGTGGGTGTTTAAGTTTATTTACCCTCGCCACCGGAATAATTTCCATATAATATGAGAGCAGCACCACGATATGTTGATATGACGCATATTATAATTGCTTATCTTATTGTGCCGCATAGTTAAATAATGTGAAAACTATGCTTAGTTGGACACAAAGCAGCCAACAGTTTAACGTTAAACTGTCCTCAATTCTTTATTACCACACAATCAATCAGGATATACAACAATCTGTTTTTATTGTAAAGCTTTTTAATGCTGGCGAGTTTAATATGCTCGAATCTATACGGCACACATTACTTTATTTATCTTCTCATTCTGTCCATGCATTAGATATGGAATGGTTATTGATTATAAAACATAATTATTGTTTTACTGTATGCTTTTATTGTAAAGTATTTGTATTAGATACTTGAATGACAAGAAATTGATTGGTTAAATAATACTCGATTTCATTCGAAGCCTTTGTTGAAGAAGAAAATCTAGACTTTGTTCTGCTGTTAATTTAAACACAAATATTACTAAATTTTGGTTGCCGTTAAATTCCATACGATGTCCGATTACCCAGATAAATAATAGAACAATAACTGGATCATTATACTTCGTGTACATTATCGTCAAATTGAAATCCCGTACAATAAATACAAGTATAAACTAGTACATTGTAGTGATAAAAATGACAATAAAATAAATTTAGTATTAAAAATAAATGGAAATCAAATGCGCCACAATTACTCTTAAAAGAATATGTATGATAGTTTGGGGCTTCCGTGGCCAAGAGGTAAAATCATTGACTGTCTCTAAAATCGTAAAACAATGGCTACTCCTATATACTTTTATTGTGAAGCAAAATAATCGAGAAGATGAAATTGTTGATTTATAAAAAAAAAAATACTCAGAACGAAATTGAAAATCATTATTTAGTGCGATTTTAGCCCGATTTTAGTTAAAAGCTTTTTAACGCCTTTCACGTTAGCTCATTATGGTTAATCTGTCGGGGGGGGAGGAGGGAGTGAGCAAATGAGATGAAGTGTTGCCAAAAAAAAAAATTGGAACAGATATTTCCAATAGAGTCATGTCCAAATCCTCAGTGGAGTTCCTTTCAAAATAATGCACATTTGGATCTTTTTTGTGCTATAAAGTGTTTGACCAAGTTTAAGTTTCAAGTTTCAAGAGTTTATTCAGCATAAACATACAATATGTTCATTGCCATACATATGATATAATGTGCATGTAATATGACAAGAAAACAAACAAACAAACAAACAACAAAAATAAAATACATTTGGTAACAATGAGAATAACCCAAACAAACACACACACATCCACAAAAAAATATTTTTGAGAAAAGTGTTAAGAAATAGTAATTATTCAATATGTATTTAAACAGTCAGATTTATTGATTATACGTATCTCGTTTACATGTAGCTAGGTATAAATACTTTGCCAGTTTATTTATAATACTTTTTTGGCAAGATGTCATAATATTTCTAAATTTCTGGATACTAGGCCAAGAACAGTAATAATTAGGAAGGCAACGATATCTTATTTCTCTATAAAAGGGACACACTAATAGAAAATGATACTCATTTTCAACAACATTCATGTTACAACGTAAACAGATTCGTTCAGATCTTGGAATATTCCTGTGTCTACCTTCCTCTATCAGTAATTTGTGAGCAGAACATCTAAATCGACATAAAGTAGTACGATAATTTAAATTACTAACACACAACAAATATTTTTCCGCAACATGTTCATTTTTAAATATGCAATAAGTTTCTAATTTAGGTAAACTGTTGATTTCACTTTGCCATTGTTGTAAGTATTGATCTTTTATTCGTGCTATTAAAATATTTAGTTGATCATTTGTAATATTTTGAGTATTCCATAAAAACGGAAACTCATTCAACAAATCTCGTACATCACTGGACCACTTGTTAAATAAAACATCATTATTATTTCTCATACTATAAATTGTATAAATAAGTTTGTCGTTATTCTTAAGAATTCTGTACCAAAATTTCAATATCCTTATCTTTCTATATACAATTAATGGAAATCTTCCTAATTCTCCATACACTGTTGTATTTACAGTTTGTTGCCATACACCTAACAACTGTTTCAAAAATTTCAAATGTACTCTTTCAATGTCAGGGGCTTTATGTAGCCCCCATATTTCTGATCCATAATTTAATATAGGTAATATCATGGTATCAAATAATTTTAATTTATCTGGTATCTCAAAATTAACTTTATCAAATAATGCATTTAAAGAAAACAAAGCTTTTAAAGCTTGATTAGCAAGCGATTTTTGTGCTTGATAAAAACGACCATTAGAAGAAAGCGTCACACCTAAGTATGTAAAAGTTCTCACAACTTCTAGTTTTTCACCATCATAGAATATATCATAATCTTGAGTTCTGTTTCCAGATTTACAAACCATGACTACAGTTTTATCAGTATTAACAGTAATATTCCATGCTTTACAATACATATTCATGTTATTTAACAAATTTTGTAGACCTTCAACAGTATATGAAAATAAAACAGTATCGTCAGCAAATAATAACATAAACATCTGTATTTCATCTAGACTGAAAATATCATCAGATTGAGTCAACATACAATTATACATATCATTTATGAAAAATAAAAACATAAGAGGAGACAATGGCTCTCCTTGTTTCACGCCCATAAAAGTTTGGAAATCATCTGTCAAAGAACCATTCACCCTTATACATGATCTAACGTTGTCATACATAATTCGTAACATGTTAACTATTTTTGAAGAAGCTCCATTTGTTATAAGTTTATACCAAACACCGTCCCTGTAAACAACATCAAACGCCTTTTTAAAATCAATAAAAGCTAAAAACAGTTTCTTTTTTTCATTGTGTAATATTTTGTTTATGATAGAATTTAAAACAAAAATACAAACTATTGTACTTCTTCCTTTACGGAATCCAAATTGAACATCTGTCAATAAATTATTACTATCAGCCCATTTCCTTAATCTATTATCTAATAAAATTGAGAAAATTTTAGCAAAAACGCTTGTAAGTGTTATCCCTCTATAATTATTTACATCATTTAAGTCTCCCTTTTTAGGTACTGGCACAATAATTTCTTTAGTCCAACTAATAGGATATATACAATTTGAATACATATAATTAAACAATTTACAAATCACTGGTGCTAAAAATTGCTTACATTCTAAAAATATTTCAGGTATAAGTAAATCTTCACCAGCACTTTTACCTCTTTTAAGTGAAGATATAGCATGATCAACTTCTTCTACACTAAAATCCTTATCCAGCTCATAAACAACATTAGAGTTAAAGTTATCATCACTTAAATTCGCCTCTACATTTTCATCATTAAAAATATCACTACTCGTAAATAATTCTTTAAAATGATTAAAAAAATCATCTTTACTTAACGTACTACTGTTTTTATTATAAGATTTTAGCTTCTTTATTTCAGACCAAAATTAATTCCTAACTACAATAGCTATTTTCTGTTCATTTAACAGCTCGGGATATCGATACAAACAATCGTTTACATGTATATAGGGTCATATAACCTGCAAATAATCTTTATAACTAATAATATAACCGGAATCGGCGGTTTATATGATTTATAAGAGAATGGTATAAGATTAAACACTCTTATAAGTATGGATATTGCGTATATACCTACAAACATCAAATCAAATTCGATTAATTGAAATGCTAAAACCAATTCATAAAAACATTCATTTGTCAGTTTTATTATATATAATATTAGGAAAGATACAGAATTAATCTCTTTATTGGATCAAGCGTCGCGTTAAGTGTCATTTGTCAAATTTCAAGCGCGACATACTTATGACACATACAATGACACTAACTGGATTCCGTAGTTTTTATATAACTGCTTCTTTAACCCTTTACCTTATATAGACGTGCTTTGACGGCGGCTTTTCGCCCCCCCCCCCCTCTTTGAGGCCTGAAACAGTGAAAAAATGCCATATTTAGGCCCCAAACACTATTTCGTTTGAGAAATGTTGATAAAAAAGCGATCCCTTTTTTTGGCGCCCCCCCCACCCCCCTATCAAAAAGGTACATCAACGGTTTGCCAGACGAGGAATGTGCCCCGTTCTGTTTGGGGAGGGGGGTGAAGGGGGCGTGTCAGCCCACCTCATCGCCAAGAGAATTTTGGACATGCGACAGACTAAAAATGGCCTCAGGTCAATCGTAAGGTTTAACCAACGCTGGAAAGGATTTTACTCTATCTCCATCCATTGAGAAGTTGCAGCATTTTGAATCAATTTTGACGGGGAAAAAAACAATGCATCATAATGATTTTTGGCAATTTTGAGACGTCCCCCGTTGCCATGGTAAAAGGAAATTTAAGATTGAGCATGCTGTTTCAGAGGCTATGGTCCAGTCAACATTTGTGCCAAGTTTCATCCGTATTGAAGCATTTTTCATAGTTTCATAGCAGTTTGATCTTGTAACTGGAGGTTTTTAAAAAAAAAAGGCCATTTTTAACAATATGCTAATGAAGTAAAGGGTTTAAAGGTTGAAGTGTTTCAATATGTATCAACTAATCGGATTATATTTTATTCAGGAATATGTTTCAGTTCGTATTCATTAATAAACAGCCTTGGTTTAATGAAGGTGTCTTTAACCTTCGCGTAATGGCAAAGTTTTTAGTATTAAGACAGAATTAATGAAACATTTATAGAACACGTAACTCGTGTAAAGATATTATTCATTACGCATGCGCATAAAGAAAAAAAATAGGTTTTAGTGATCCACACTAACAGTTATTATTACGTTTCGCCGTTAACATAATGATAAGTAAAGTTAATGTTTAATATTAAATAAAAAAGGGTAAAGTTGATAAGAGAACGGTTTTAAAGCCGTTGATGAATAACTTTATCTGCCTTTATAAACTTCTGATTGATATAGTATTATGAGATATAAATATTTGATCGATCACTAGGTTGTCGGGGATTTAAGGAATTTAGCGGATAAAATTGTAAAACGATACTAAAGAAAATGTCTTGGTGCGCATTTATCGGTGTATCAACATTTTATTTGATAGACCGTACGATGCAATAATTAATAATAATAATAATAATAATAATAATTATTATTATTATTATTATTATTATTATTATTATCATTATCATTATTATTATTATTATTATTATTATTATTATTATTATTATTATTATTATTATTATTATTATTATTATTATAACAACAACAGTAAATAAATAAAAAAATAAGTAAATAAATAAAAATATATAATAAATTATTAAAATAAGTAGAAATGATTGAGATATGATCTGTTTTCCAAAACCATACATTTATGTAAGAACGGAATGGTTTATTTCAATACTGTATTAATCCGTATGTATGCTAAACAGTAATGGCAATATATAAATCATTAAATCAAAACACAATGACCTAAATCTGAATAAAAAAAATAATGTTATCAGAAGGGCCCTTTTACCATTATTATTGATATAAGATAATGACAAATAATAATATCGTCAGATCAAGGATATCGATACTGTAAAATATTGGATTTAAATGCGATTACATTTTCATAGTATGGTATAAAGAAATTAAAATAAAATTGATGTGGGATAGTTTATTGTACAATGAGGGTCTACTATTGTTGTCTAGTAAAAAAGTAGTATAATATATCATGATAATACCTTTTTTTTTAAAAGTAGGCTTTAACAGTTACGAATGTGGACTTTGTAGTCGTGATACAAACAAATATGTAAGAAAGTTATTTGTTTTAATCGCATTCAGTCTTATTTAACCGCTCATGAGAACAAACAAGAAGTCATCGATACGAGATTTACTTGAAATTGTTTTTGATTAATTTATATCTTTGTGCACGCGATATCAGATTATCGATCGAATGAAATGAAAATCCGAACAGAGTAAAATCAATCTGCCGTCCTATTGATATACCCCCAACAAAAATCCATAGCTATCTGAAATCTGCCCGGGTTATAGAAAAGTTATGAAGAAATTAATATTTTCCACCCTATCTGTGATGGGCCGGATCGATATGTTGAAACACGTTAATAAACAAACCGTGATAATAAATAACAACGTGGATTAACACCAGCTTAATTCTACTATCCTTGATTACCAATTTATTTGTTAGATATTTGAAAAATCTTATATTTAAGTCTTCCATTTATTCGTCTTTTGTTCAAATTATTCACGATTACGGACGGATTAAATTACGGGCGCTATCAATAAAGATTTAGCCTTAAAAGTGATTTAACAGAAACGAGATTTTACAAGCGGATTTTGATAACTTCTACAGAGCTGAAAGCTATAAATTTTAAACGTAAATTATTACTCTGAATGGGTACACATAATAGCATGTTTTATGTTCATTTTGTCCTACTGTTAAATTCTTAACAACCGCGTTGGTTGACACACCGTTAAAGTGATCGATTTGGTATACAAGTAGAAATATTTATTTTTTCAAATTGGCTTTAATTATTTCTAAAGTAAGTGAAGTAGACCGGTGTTTTCTTTTATATTTTTTTAACAAACGGTCAATACTTAACAACTATTTAACCACATTTGATAGATTTGATAATACACAGGTTGGAAACAGCAGCAAGTGTTAAAATTATATCAATTTATGTGAATTTAACAGTGATTGAATGAATGATAAACGAGAAAATTTGGTTCTTTGGATGTAGATAAGTTACGAGAACGTGTAGATATTTGGACGTGTGGATATTTGGATGAACTTGAACTAGTCAATAAAAATGACTGGATCTAACTCAGACCCGGACAAATCTTTCATTATCGTGAAATATGGAGGTAAGATGTGTTGTTATTGTTGTTTTGTTTCTTGTTGTTGTTTCGTTTCTTGTTGTTGTTGCTGTTAAAGATGTATTCTCGTGTTGTCTATTTTTCGTTATCAACACATTACTAATAATATCACATGTACAAACTTCTTTTTTTTCATTAAAACTTCTTTTTTATAATATCAAGTTCATACAAGATCCAAGTGATTTAAAAGTCGGTTATTTTAAGTATCTATTTTATACAATATCTTTATCAGAATATCAGAAGTGTCGAGCTCGGGAAACATTGCCATGACCTCGTTAAAATATTGTCGTTTTTATCAGTACCTTATAACATTTCTAATAACATTCCTGGGATCAATAAACATGCATTAACTTTTACCCTGTAATTTCTTAAATGAACTCGTCAACCTTTTAAATCTAATACATTCTATTAATAATGTTGCTATTACTATCTACATTTCTATTATTAACGTTGCGGATAATGATATGAAAATTTAAAGTTAGCTAACTAAGTGTATAAGAGTTGGTCAGACTGTAGGGAAGTGCAAGCTAGTCTGGCGCTATGTTAACTGGTAGCAGAGGTTTTAATCACTTTCGATTTCAGCAGAAAATGAGTAAAATGTATCAATACATGTACTATAATTTACCATCAGTTTAAGATTATCATCCCTATCAACCGGTGAACATTAAAAATATTTGCTTAAACACAACGATTTAAAATGTGTTACTGACCGAAGTTTCCTATGCTTGTCTGTTGATCTATAGTTATCATAAAAAGACGCGTGATTGTCAAATCTTTTATTTTTTTCTAAAACGACACCATGCAGTTGAATTGTTTAATATTAATATGTAGTGTAATTTTGTGATTTTGATTATGACCTATAGACCTATAGAAGTAAATCTTAAAATACACAGAGACCAATTAAAAGGAAGTTTTTTTATACCTGTTTTCCAACCAGTCCTCAATTGTTACAGCGAGATTTTACTTACTCACTTTATGTTTAGGCAATTCTAAGACTGGTCATAGCCTGCTGGCGACAACAGATTCTACCCATGTGACCAATGCAGACCACGATCAGTCGGTCATTTAACCAGTGAAAAATCTTATTAACGAATTTAATATATATATTTGAGAAACAAAAATGAACGTTTATCCAATAAAAAGCAACGTTACAAACGCGCAGTACTATAAATGAAATGTTTGCGTTACTTTTTATGTTAAGCATAGAAAACGACAAATAATCTTATTTATATTGAATTTAAAAGCGTGAAGTCAAAATCTTCCAATCACAAGTACTTTATAAGATAGTGAATGTTTAGTAGATGATCGTAAATCAGAAGTATCAGGGCATTAGTCTACGCTTAATGTTTTATTACTCATTGTATATAACAAACGGCACTCAAAAATCAAGTGTACGTCAAATATTGCAAGATCAAAATAGACGCTGTAATATTTATATATTTTAAGATAACTACAATAGGTTGAACACCACTATATCATTTATCGTGGTTTATCTACTTTTTATGTTATCGGGAATCAGTGCTTTACATTTTCTTCCTCATTCGATCAGTATTTCATTATAAGAATGTAGTAAAAATGAAGTTATTAATGTATATTCAAAATGATTAATTTATGTTCATTTAATCAACAAACAGACAAAAATAAGAAAACATATCATTTGAAAAACTTATACATTCAACGGTTATCAATTTATGAAATAATCATGATCGTAAGATTTCATAAAATTCACTCATATCACCGCCTCCGAGATCGAAGGGTTAAAGTCGATGACTTCTAATCCAGTTACCTCTCTAGCGTGGGTTCGATCCCCGGGAGATGATTTGGTAGTTTAGCGCGGAGAAGGGTAGTCTAGTACTGGTGTACCTTTCCAGATGAGAAACAACCGGGCCTATATGACTGAAATACTATTGGGAAAAGGCGTAAAATGAAACAAACAAACAAACGTCGACAAGCATAGGCATACAGCATAGCCGATACACACGTGCAACGTGCAACACAAATCTTTTAACAAGCAATGAATATAAGAATTATTCCTTGAGTTAAATCAAATATAAAATAGCAAACCAATGCTAAGATTATATCAAATTTACTTAAGATCAGACCAGTTTATTTTTTCAATAGCTTAATTTGCTCTTAATATAACACAAACTGTAAGAGCTTATTTTATAATTTACGGATATCTAGTAACAAATAAGTGAAATTAATTATTAAGCAAACTGGTGACAATAAAAAAAACAACAACACCCCACCGTTATTTGGTTTATATCAGACGAATGTACCATACTGCCTTCTAACTACATGAATAAGGACTGAAAAAAGGCATAATTTTACAAAGTGACACGTGAATATTAAACTCAAACTGTTCAAAATAACAGGGTACATATCAAAACAGATTTTTGTTATGTTAGTCGGAGTTTACTACAAAACATTTTCGTATACCTTCTTTATCAAATGAGCCGATATAATCAATCAATATCGATGAATTTGTTAGCCAAATAGTTGGGTTCCATTGATTGTATACTGTATCAAATTACCGCAACGGTATTGGAACGGCAAAAGAAGGATATTATCGTATCCCACGAGTTCATTTGTTAACAATACAATGCTACGGTATCGATAATAGCCGAGGGTATGACATTGTTCACTTTACATACTCGTATAGCTGATAACAATATATAGCACATTGTTATAAACATACATTGTTCACAGTAGAATATATAACAGGAATAATGATAATATTAACACATTTCTGCAATATTTTTTATAAAGAAATGTATACAATCTATTCAAGAAAGTGTTTAAAGTCACAGGCAGAGTTACTAATTTGACAAACCTTGATACTTTTCGCATTATTATGTTTAACAGTTACTGAAATAACATGGCCATAATGAGAGTGTCTTTTTTATTAATTAAAGCGTTAAGTTTTGAATCAAGTTGAGAAAAAAATGAAAGCGTCTTTTGTCATAGTGATGTATTTCTACATAAGTTTCACTGTTAGAATTTCTAAACAAAGTAAACAATTATTTGTGGGACTTTTTCTGTCTTAATGGTTACATAAGCATGACATGACAAGGCCAGCCTGAAAATATCTTTGTTTCCCCTCTGCAACTAATCTGGACATAGGTAGGTGAGGGAAATAGGAAAAGTTAATTTTTATGTCGAATATTTCTTTAATAAACATATTATTTACAGCTGACCCCATAATAAATAAATAAAATAAAATAAAGTTAAAAACAAATACATTAAAATTATTTGTAAATCTTAACACTTGTTCAAAGATGCTAAGAACCAAAGTTTCAATTTGTAATCTAAAAATGTAAAACTTGTTCAGATGTGATTCATATAAACAGGCTACTTCCATGTTCAGTTAAATACTTTCATTTGCAATATTTATTTGGAGGCAGAGGATGGGGAAGGAGCAGTGTTTATTTCATTTTTTTTGGTAGGTCGCGGAAGAAGAAATAAGCAATATCTTATGTTTGATCTTACTGTATTTGAATCATCTCAACGAAAAATTACTGAGAGATGTTTGAATATAATGCATAAAAAAATGACGATTTTGATAATAAAGCAGCACGCCTCCAGATTAATGCTTATTTTCATGAAAATTTTGAAAATGAAATTAAAATAAAATGTATAATATTGTATAGTAAATTAAGGAAAGAAATTTAAACATTATCAATGATGCTTACAACCAACGTTTGTTACAAAAAGGAGGTGAAAATATGCAAAATGTGCCCCCACTGTGATTGTAATGCAGTAGAAATATAGTTACACATAATGAAAAATGCACCATTAATCGCTCATAACATATAAATTGTTACTTTAATCTTGAATCTTTCTACTTTTCCTAAAATCTCAAAGTTTGATTTATTGAAATATTTTCACTCATCTGGAGGCATGCTGCTTTAAGACTCTGCCTATCTCTAACAAAGCCTTGAAAGTTTACCATGTTCAAGATTCCGTTTATCTTCCCAAGCATCTATTTGTAAAATATGCTTATTTGGGGAAACGCTCGGACAGTTCGATTTTCCCTTTTATTCATTCTATCTAGAATCGATTCGTCTTTGTAATCACCGTGAAATGGTAAATAAATCTCTTTTTATAACAACAATGCTAAAACGATAGCATTTCGTCTGAAATAAATTTATCACAGTATTGTCTTTACATTAGGTAAATGTCAACCGACATTCGAACAAATCTGGCCACAAACGAGAATATTCGTAATAAGTAGTTGGGTGCATAAAGATGGCCTTCAAACAAATTACAAAATCAAATATTACAAATCGTTTTTTACAACAAATTTGTCTTTTAATAATGAAAATGAAATTTCGTCCAGTTTTCCCGTATTTATATTCTCATATAATGTCAAGTAATTCTGTCACGCATTCGACTTTTTTTTATTTTTCCGCGTTTCTACTCCGCGTTACACTTATCATGTTCTCGTCTTTAAATGTTTTTTTTTCCTGTTATCATTACAGATAATGAAGAAGCAATATTTAACCCCTGGTGTTCTAGCCACACGTTGATGGAATGGATAAGAAAAAAATGTAACTGTGACGATGATAGTAAGTTATTTTTGTTGTTGTTGTTGTTTTACATACTATCTATGTGGACATCCAAACCTACGATTTATACTACATCAAGATGTAGAGATATCCTTGGTTATGTTAAAAACTATATTTATAAATGTCAGTAAATATATTTTCACATTAAGCATTGCATTGCTATGTTTTATTTTACATCTTATAAAATATAACCAATGCACTTCCGGCATTTGTACCACGTGATGCTCCAATAGAAATCATCATTATTAGATCTATTTAACTCTAAAAGTTAAAAAGTTTAGAGTCGGGAAAATCCATATCAAATCCATGTAACATCCCATTTAGTCTCGTTTTCAAAAGGGTGATATTATTTTCATATTAAAGCACGTATAACCTCGTTTTCATAGTTAGAGTCAAAATGCCTTTATCAAATGCATATCATACTCCATCTAAACTCGTTTTCATTTTGAGAGTCCAAAAATCCATATCAAATTCATATTGTAATCAAAGTTACAAAGCTAGTACTCTCATAATAATGGTTGTGTAAAAATAAGGCTACATTAACAATGTTTGAGAACAATACTGATTCCACTGGACTTGTACACATCTTCAAAACCCTTATTATACTCGCTAGCGTCTCGTCAAATATAGTTTTGACAGTTTTGTACTCGTCCAATAGAATTCAGTATTGTACTCAACAATGTATACTGACCTCATAAAATCATCAATAGACACGGAGATCATTTTGGAACTATAAAGACCCTTGTTAACAGGGTTGACTGTATTACACGGTATTCTTATTTGTACTTTGGTTTTATTCATAGATGAACCAATAAAATGGAAGAGTAATCATATTTCGTTCCAATTTTATTGATATTGTATTTTAGTAGTCACCTCAGATTTAGTACAGGGAGACAAATCCAGTTCGACAATTTTTGCTCTCTTTATTGATGAATTAGCACATATGCTTCGCGATAAATGTAACTCTGGTATATTTATTACACAAGAAATTCACGTTATTGTTTGCCTCATGTTTGTTGATGATGTTGCAAGTTGCGCGGAAACAGGAGTTAAATCAAAAACAACAATTAAATGTTGTCGATGAATTCTTTTAAAAAATAATGGGATGGAGGTAAATTTAGTTTAAACTGAAATTATTGTTTTTAGTAATGACGGACCGTTCAGACAATATGATTTGTTGATTTTATCTAGGCAATTCAAAATAAATTTTGTAAAAAGCGTTTAGGTGTATAAAAACGACAAATACCATGCATAGTTTTAGGAGAATGTGGACGTTTGCCATTGTGTATAACTTATTTTGTTAATTGTATAAAATATTGGTGTAAATTGTTGACTATGTCAGATCATAGCTATCCGAGACAATGTTACAAAATGTAAAAGCCCCTAAATGAGATCGGTCGAAATTGTTGTGCATCTAAAGTAAAAATTACTACTTTACACGTACGGTTTTGGATATGTACAGATTGCAATAAAGACATATTTATTTTAGCTTTTCGTCAACGACTGAAAGATTGTTTTGAACAAAAATGGCATATTGATATAAATGTTGCGTACCATTATTACCATTTTAAAATTTCAAGATGAACGTTATCTTAACTGTGATATTCCAAGAACATATTATGGTTGCTCTTGCAAGGTTTCGATGTTTCTGACATAAATTAACGTTTGAAATGGGAAGATAAAATAATATACCCCTTCATGAAAGAAACTGTTTAGTTTGATTTAACCAAAATAATGTATCTGTTATTAATTGTGAATTTCATGCCTTTTTCAATGTTCTAAGTATAATGACATTCGAACTAGTTATCTCTTTAATTGGTATTCAAATGAAACAACAATTCAAGATTTTCAAATGAAACAACAATTCAAGATTTTCAAATGAAACAACAATTCAAGATTTTCAAACGAAACAACAATTCAAGATTTTTATTAGCTGATGAACACACAAAATGAAGAAACAAATTTTAAATTATCTGTGTTTGTATTTCACTTGTTGACTTATTTCATTCTTATCGTATGTAATGTTATGCAACTACATTCAATACATGTATACAATATTATATTTATTTTCATGTGTATTTTGGGCCGGAGGCCTTTATTTACTTCAATAAAGTTGAATTGCGTTGAATTTAATACCTTCATTGATTATAACATTAATGACGTAATTATCATATAACAGTTTTTTATCGACTTTCTTCAATTCATTTCTGTACACGAAAAAAGCGTTATTTATTAATTTTCATACGTAAAATAACTATTTTTAATTTTGTGAGTTACACAATTAAAGTCAATTGTCTGGCCTTTTTGAACTGGAATCTTAAAAAAAAATGTCAAATGCTACATTTTTGAAACTATGCCGCAACAGCAGTGTAGACGCTAATTTTGATAATGTTAATAGTTAATAGTATCTTTACTATTCTTGTTGTAGATAAATTCCATTTTACATTTTAAATACCGTGTCTTGTCCGACAGTAATTAAGTTTTATATTATATCATATTTAAGTGTTCTTGCATATTTTTATTGTGTTTAAATAAAATGTTAAAGGGAAAGCACGAAATATCTGAATTTTTGAAATATACATGTACCTTATACTTGTTTCAGTTGCGATTGACCTGGTTGACATGGAAGGACAGGTAACGAACCTATCTGGACGAGCGAAGGAGTATGCCACAGAAGTTGTTACTGCCAGGGGCATTTATATACTTATACGAGTTGAAAGTAAGTAGTGTACTCATCTTGAATATTACCTTTGTTTTTAAAATCAGGTGTGGAAATTTATATTTTTGTTTTCAAATTATTCGGTAGTAAAACAGTGCTTTGTTTGGACTGATAAGTTTATATTTATATAAAGTCATCGCTGATTACTAATACATCGATACCTCATAGTGATTGTTAGACATGTGCGTTTTAAAAGTTTAAAAAATAGAGCTTACATTTTATCCAAGCGTATTTAATTTAAGATGTTAATTATGTTTTATCAAAGATATTTATATGTAACATTCAATTTGAGCCGTTTTAAATTGAAACAATATCAGGTTCTGAAGCGCGTAATGAGTATACTCTGTTACATCTTATAGAGATCATTTCGAAAAGAGCACATACGGGTTAGTAGTCGCTGGCTTTTCATGGATCTCTGTTCGAAGCGTTTCACTTATTAGCGTCAACAATTTATTTTCGATAAGCTTTAATCATAAAAATTGTTGTTATTTTTGTCGGATACATCTGTTCTACCCACTCATATAGCCATATATAGTACTAGGTCAAGTGAAAGTTGGTGCTATATTTCACAAAGGTTGTAGTGCAAAATCATTAGCATATAACGACAGTGTCCTGGGAACAACAAGTCAAAAAACAACACAAACAAAACGTTTTCTATGTCCTCAAAATTTATAATAATAGTTATTATTATCATTATTATTATTATTATTATTGTTGTTGTTGTTGTTAATATTATTGTTATTATTTACAAATGTGATACAAAAATTAAGAAATAAGCCAATATGTACAAATAAATTAATACTTACACAATATGTAAATTAGCTGTGCAATATAAATCATTATTTAACATAGTTAAATCATTGTCCAGCTGTTTGTCGTCATTAAATGAGCCGCGTCACGACAAAACCAACATAATGGGTTTGCGACCAGCATGGATCCATACCAGCCTGCGCATCCGCGCAGTCTGATCAGGATCCATGCTGTTCGCTCACAAACCCTATTACAAGAAGAGAAACTGAAAGAGAAACAACATGGATCCTGATCAGACTGCGCGGATGCGCAGGCTGGTCTGGATCCATGCTGGTCGCAAACCCATTATGTTGGTTTTGTCGTGACGCGGCTCAAATCTGATTTTTAAAACCCTCACTACGCTTAACATTAAATTTGAAGTGCAGCACTTAAAACTAGAAATCATTAAAAGATAATCTTTCAATCTAGACAAATTATTCATCATTTAACACATGTTTTGGGGTTTTTGTTGGTGTTATTGTTTTTTTTTTTTAATTATCGATGGGTAAGAGTATTAATGTGATGGGAAAAACCCACTCTTCTTGTCATTATTTCTTTATTTGTACGTCATTTCATTTAAAAAATTCTTATAATCCATTCCATCGTAGTCTGTTTACCGATCAAAATTATGTAACATTTCAAGAGTTCAAATCAATGTAGAATAGCCCACGCCTTATTATATCCATGTGTTTATATAGGTCGATTTCAAGAGTAATAATATTTAACAGGAAGGATCAAAGTTAAATACTAAAATATTTAACTATATATCTTAATCACTTTAAAGAGGTTTATTTGATTAAAATTAAAAAGTTAATACGTTTTGTTGACTTTTACAGCCACGTGTTAAAAGCTGATCAGACTATATAATAGCATATTCCCCTTCCAAATTAAAAACAAATTTGTTTAGAATGTATAACATTTCCCTTCTATAACCACTCAATATTTCCAAAAAAAGACCGTCACATTTAATTTGTGTTCATTTCATTTCTCAGTCACTATATTTAAATGATTCACAAAAATGTTATCCTACTTACTAAAGGTTGGTGATTATACACAGGTACCCGATCATGCCCGACAATGAATGTGATGATATATTCGCCCAACAGTAAAACAAAAAACTGTGCAAATTCACATAATTTAAATTGCAAATCGTTGGCATGCCTCAAATAGAAAAAAAAATCTTGCTCACCATAACAAATTCTGGTTCACACTGACGCAATGGTGTACACATTTTTTTTATCAACAGAAATGCTTTCATCTTTATTTTTCAAATTCTTGATGTCCTGTTATAGTTTCGAAAAAGTTACTCATTGGCCACATACGATAATCCTTTTTTGCTTCTGTTTCTTTTTAGCATTTATAGAGATTTAGTGGTTTTAGTATTTTGTATGTAAAATTACTAGATTGTTACTTTCATAACAAATAACATCACCTTCAGATTCACTTTCTATCTTATTATTATCGAAACTATTATTAACACACTATGAAACTTATTTTGTCCTTTCTAAAAAGTGAAATATTTTCGTTTCTGAGGCATAATATGCCTTTAAAATAAAACTGTGTTTGTGGCAAAATACAGAAAAAGAATATATTTTCTATAAGTATAGATTATACATGTATATCAGAACAATCTACACAATTGTAAGCAAGTTTGAAACTCACCAGGAGGATTTCATTTTCATATCATCTAAATGAAATTAGATATTATGAATGTTTACCTATAAATTAAAAATATCTGCCTAATCACTTAGCAAGGTTGTTGCCTATCTATTTATAGTATCAGATGTCTATTTATAGTATCAGATGTCTATTTATAGTATCAGAGGTCTATTTATAGTATCAGAGGTCTATTTATAGTATCAGAGGTATATTTATAGTATCAGAGGTCTATTTATAGTATCAGATGTCTATTTATAGTATCAGATGTCTATTTATAGTATCAGAGGTCTATTTATAGTATCAGAGGTCTATTTATAGTTTCAGAGCAGACTAAACGACAACAGTTTCAATTGTTTCCTTTTTGTTTGCAGGACTTCCTGACAATGGCCAGTTTCATTACACTGCTCTTTTAAATAACTTGGAAGAAACAAATCCAGAATTAATGGGTAAGTTTAAAATCTGATTTCTTTTTTTATATAATTATGCCATCTTAGATAATATATTACATAAGTTAAGTGAGAATAATCTGTTAGTTTTATCCAGTTCTTTCTGCAGTTTACATCCGACAAATAAAGTCATATTTATTTTGGAATAATTGCTATTATGGATCTAAATATCACTAATGTCTTGTCCAGATTATTTGAAGGAGCAATGGGATGTCTAACACAGTGTTTACAATACGGAAATGTTAGGACAAATTCAGAGAAAACTTAATTGACTATTGATTGTTGGTGTCTAAGATAAACGAACTTTTGTGAGGCACTTTTGTCATACGTCCGCAAAGTAATTATCCTATCAAATCTATATAAGTTTTTAAGATTAGTTTCATCTTTATTTCTGATTCAAATACTGGACCTTCCCATCAGTTGATACATGTGTTAAATCGACAAATCCATCCATCAGATATAGATTTCCTCTTTTTATATATTTCAGTAAAACTTAACAGTATGTCACGTCCAACAACAAGGGCAAAAAATATCAAACAAAAGGGAGGCAAGAAAACCCAACCTCAAAAACTACGCCAAGAATCTGCAAACAGAAGACCGTCAAGCAGTGAAAGAAAGAAAACTAAGTGAAAACCAATGTATATGCATCTTACTGTATGATTTATTGTGAGCAAGTGTTGAAGATGTATTCGTGTAATTGTTATAGAATTTGCAAGATATTATGTAGATATTTATGAGAAAAAAAATACAAAAACAGCAACAACAACAACAACAACAACATTGAAACAACATTTACCTTATCAAAATAAGATAGAAATGACTTGAGACGAAATTTTCTTTGGTTACAATAAGAAAACTAGCGATATGCATCTTTCATTTTTGCTGATACTCGTCACCTATTAAATTAAATAATGTCCTCTTTATACTGTATAGCATATGTATAGTATTATGCCTTTACCAGGACATTGTATGTAATTCCCTATTTTCTAACTAAACTCCATTTCCGAAATGCCTATAATTAAAAAGATAATATGACCTGCGTAGCATTACACATGCATAAATTCCGATATAGTATACAGGCTTCTTGTGCTACAGGGATAGGAAGGCACTGCGTGAACTTTGCATTAAGCATTTGTTACCTTGAATTATTTTGAATTCCATGTATCCTTGAAGGTAAACTTCTTTGTGACTTTACAATGATAGAAGGTCTGAAAAAATGCATTTATAATTTTTCTTACAAAATGTCTTTCTCCTTATGCCAAAAACGCATTTTTACATATACTGTATTTTATTGTAAGCCATTCTAATTAACTATCATTTGCTATAAATGTATATAATTATATCAAAAGAAATATCCATTGCACACACTTGTATTGAAAGAGAACAAACCAAAGTCGTACTGTGCCTTAATACATTAAAGACTGTCAATCATTTAATTTTTTGTAATCTTATATGTGAAGCGTGTTTCAATTTATTTAAATGCCCTTTTTGAAGTCATGCATTGAAGTATTTAACAAGTTTAATATTTTGAATATATCATACAAAACGGCCGAATTAGAATAATAGCTTTTTGTATGCAAACTTAAACCTTTTTTTCAAATTGATGTATAGATAATTTCACACATAGACATCTGTTTTGATCATGGAATTCACACTGAAAGCAAAAACACATCATACACTTGATAATTCAATGAACAATTTTGCACATCCTAACGGGGTAACGCGCCAAAATAATGTTGCATTTATTTTCTTATTTTATAGAAATGTATCATTTTATTTAAACTGTGATAAATTTTATTGTTTATGCCTAAATAAAATATTAAATGAACATCCCTTTCATTTTATCTTTGTTTCTTCTTTCCTTCCATTAACAGTAAGAAAAAAACAAAGGTCAAAGATTCCTAACATCAAAATAGTATAGGCATTTTTTGCATATGTTCGTTTTTATATACATTATATACTTCCCATTTGCAACAGCGATAAAAGATTCAGGAAATGACAGTATCGAGATGACATAATGTACTAAAAGTTAAACATTGTTCGGAAAAATGCTAATCCCAAGTTTAACTTCTAAGATGACACGATTAACCCATTCCGGTGAACTATAGTAAAACATAAGAAATCATTTTGTCGCACTGAATATGTGTAATGAAATTATTTTTCATATACCGGTGGCAAAATGTTACAATCACACAAATTCTGGTTAGGTATGAAATATTATGCCAGATCGCCACGGCCAGCCAGTATTACATTAGAATTTTACTGAGGATACAAAAGAAAACCATCATTTTAATCGAGACTTGGATTCCAGCTTTTTACATGATTAAACTGTTTGAGCTGGACTCAAAAATTTATTTGGCCTATCAAATTTGGTCTTACATAGCGGCTAAAAACCTTCAATTTGACGCCATTTTTGAAAAGCAGCAAGAATTGCTTTAAGCGCAAAGATATGATCATGTAAAAATAAAAAGATGTTGATTTTCATGATTTCTTTTTAATCAGTCATATTTACGCTGATGTTTATTTTACTTGATTTCACCTGTCTTCTCTAAAGTAAGTCTTCGTTTGGTTAATTAACATTTATTTAAGTGTTCATCTTATTGTGCGCATTTTTGTACTTTTAAAAAAAATAAATTCCGGGTCATTTTATCCTTTCCGATATTGAGAGAATGTGGAGGCTCCCGCGTTTTCGTGAAGAAGGTTAGACTTTCGTATCTTAAACATTCTACAGTGCTTCCATGCAATAGCTGTAAACAAGCTGTTTACGGCAGCCTGCAAGTGAGCATAGCACTAATAACACTATTTTGGAGAATAATGCCGCTTAACATATGCATTTTATACAAACAATTCATGCATATGCAAGTTTACATCATGTACTTTATAGGGAACCCTATACTTTTTGCCTACCCAAGGGGGTACTTGATTTATATAGACTTGTACATGATTTGTCACTCATTTCGATACCTATTAACCTGTAACGATTAAACTTCATATTGAGAGATCTGTCAATTTGGCAATTAAGCACACCCAATGAAATAGAAATGACACAGCGAGCCGTCACTAGCTTTTTTAAAAGCTAAACATATTGACTTATTATTATACACTTATTATTGGCATTAGTTAGACTGATTAGTAACAATAATGATATTAATATTAATTCCGTGACTCTGGTTCGATCATATCAAACTTAAAACATTATCCCACGTTTTCTTTCTGGTAAAAGTTAACCTTCGCATTTAGGCGACATACAGTAACCTTAGTTTATAGTATGTAATGAAATATAAAAATGTCATCAACATATACTTTTCCATAAAGATAACGTATCGAATATAAACGTATTAATTGGCATGACAAAGAAGAAAGTAATGTTTATAGCATATATCATTTACATAAGTGCATTCCGTGTTGTGTTGCACGTACATCGTTTAAAAATGGAAACCTGAACAAATAATGACCCTTCGCTAATTTTGTTTCACAGTTTAACAATATCCAGGTAACTGGCCTTTAGGTCAGGAAGGAGAACATTCAGGTACAGAGATCAGTTCGTGTGCGTTTGTTCAAAAGCGATTCTTTGCTGTAATAACCGTAAAAATATGGGTTTGTAGTCAATATAGTGTGACAATAAATGTCTTGACAAACACTAGTGAGATCAGAGATAAATGATTATATTCATGTCTACGAATATAGATTTAATTGTACACATCCTAATACATGTAAAATTATTTAGAAAAAAGTGATCCCTCGGAAGCATTAAAAACAGCAAAATTACATAAAAATTGCAGACTCGGTTTGATTGAGTCTGTACATGAGGGATAATGAAAAAGTGCAACATTCCTCACGCCCCCTAGTACCGGCTTGAGTGGTACTCAATTCTCAACACTTAAAAGTGCTGGGCTCGATGATGACGCACAGTAAAATTTGATATTTTCCTTTATATTGTTTGGGCTAATTTTCTGATCTCTCTTTGAAATTTCATGGAATGAAGAACTTATTGCATTTAATAAAAGATACATGACGACAATTCTAGATTAAACATGGAGATATAGATATATGTAGGAAAAGATTATGACAAATGAAACTATATATGAAGTAAAACCATGCGTAGGGACATTTATGATATACTAAATATCCGAAAAAGACACACCTTATAATAGCAATAAATTAATAAATATAAAATATAATAAATAAATTAAATTAAATTAAATATTATTTAAACACAACAACTTAACTTTAAGTGTCAAAAAGAATTTGGAATACGGTCGTCGATGAATGCATTGCTAAATACAAATTGGATTGTTTGAAGGTTCTATATTTTTGGATAATATCTTTTTACTACAGTTTGATACGTATATTATCGTATTAAAATCTGGAAACAAAGTGATCCCTCGGAAGCATTAATCACAACAAAATTACAAGAGAATTGCAGATTCGGTTTGATTGAGTCTGTACATGAGGGATAATGAATACGTTCAACATCCCTCACGCCCCCTAGCACCGGCTTAAGCGGTACTCAATTCTCAACACTTAATAGTGCTGGCATCAATGATCCCGAAGGACCAGAAAAATATAACAACACTGAAGTGCAGTACGGGGCAACTTTTTACAGCTGCCACACAGCACTTGACACCTGCTGTTGTGAAGTACAAAATTCTGGAAACACAGTAATCACTCAGAAGCATTAATCACAACAAAATTACAAGAGAATTGCAGACTCGGTTTGATTGAGTCTGTACATGAGGGATAATGAATACGTGCGCAACATCCCTGACGCCCCTTAGCACCGGCTTGAGCGGTACTCAATTCTCAACACTTAATAGTGCTGGCATCAATGATCCCGAAGGACCAGAAAAATATAACAACACTGAAGTGCAGTACGGGGCAACTTTTTACAGCTGCCACACAGCACTTGACACCTGCTGTTGTGAAGTACAAAATTCTGGAAACACAGTGATACCTCGGAAGCATATCACAACAAAATTACAAGAGAATTGCAGACTCGGTTTGATTGAGTCTGTACATTAGGGATAATGAATACGTGCAACATCCCTCACGCCCCCTAGCACCGGCTTGAGCGGTACTCAATTTAGACTGCATTAAAACAGAAAACAGCTACATTTCGTTAATAAATGTTTTTTTTTCTATATGGACTCGCGTTCTTATGTCTGGTATCAATAATACGTTTTTTTCAGCGTTAATGTCTAAAATGTCATTGTGGCGAAATCGAAAAGTCATTGGGTCATTCGAAGATCAACAGACAAATAACGAACACCGCTTACGTGGCAGTCCGAATTTAACGGTACATTTTCCGCAAAATATAACGGATGTTTTAATAAAATTGTTATCTTCTTTAATTTGATGAGTACTTTTTTGTGAACGACAGGCCTTGTGCACAATGAAGCTATATCGGTAAATGTTTGTTTGCACAACCGAATAAGATGGGACATCCCGTATTTGCCGGTTTCCAGATAAGAGTTATTATTTTTCTAATAGTAATACAATGTCACGTTTTAATTGCCACGAGCTTATTAACTTAAAATTCGGATAAGAACTTTAATGTTACCGTGTGATTTTTCTTTTAAAATCATAATTTCTAAACAATATTTGATTTGATTTACTACCATACACATGAAACAGTAGAATGCTTGGTATTTATAAAATGCAACTTTATGCCTTAAAATGCTATAATTTTTATTTTTCTAAAGCTTTTTATTTTGGTGCCTTGTTACAATTTCCAACAAATTACTCACTTGACAAATAACTGTGGCATAATTTGCTCCGTTTGTGTTTTGGTGATTAGTAAAGTTTCAAGTGATTAAACTGTCGTAAATCGGACTTCTTTGTATAAAAGTTTAAGTTATGATCGACAATGTCATTACAAAAATTCAAACAGTTTTTTACACTGTTTTATCATAAGCATCATAAGCCTTTGTGATTTCTATACAAAAGTACATACAAAAACATAGTAAATTGAAATTGCTGTGGAATTAGTTGAAATATTAAATATCTTCTTGGATATCATCACACATGAACACGATTATGAATAAGTAAGAACCTTAAGAAATGTTCACCACTGTCTTTTACTTAAACATTTACAGTATTTCTAATTGAATGGCACCCTCTTTAATATAATATAGGGCTAACATTTCATCATTTGATTTGTTCGTACTGTCCAATCGTTTCCATAAAATTATGATCTTTTTCACTAAGACCGTGAAAATATTGAGAGAAAGTGTATCTTTAATTTGATTGAATACGTTTTGATTTTTTCTTGTCCTTGCTTTGCCTTGGTGACCGTCTTCTGCATTTGATTATTTTGTATTTTTGAATGGGTTCATTGAATACCGTCTCACCTTTTTGGTCTTTGTGTTCTCATATTTTATTTATGTTCATTCATACGGAAACACGACTTATAAACAATTCTTCTCTCCCCATTTTTTAGGATTTTATGAAACAGGAAATTCTTCATTCTTGATTATCCAGTAAAAACAAAAGTAGTATAAATTAATTACATGTTTTTGATTTCAAAGACGGATGTCAACCAGCTCTTCGCTTTCAGACTATAAACTACCAGTAGAAAGCAAAAACTAATCTAAAATTTGAGAATTTTGCTGTTGTAACAAATTGATGCATGCTGTTACCATTTACGCCCTTGAAATAAAAACACAAAGTAATAAATTTAGTCACACGAATTCATCTTTTTGCATTTAGACCTTTTTAAACCATAATTCCGATTGAAAACAATTTGTGACGATGAATAAGAAAAGTGCTATATAAGAATTAAGCTATTTGTAAATCAAAGCAAGTACGCATATATTTGCATCCTGTTACTTTTTATAATC